ATGATGACAGGCAGACGCACAAGCTGTTGTGGTATTTATCAAATTCAATGAAGCTTTGCCCGAGGAAGAAAGGCGGTGTGTTTCATTTGCATTTAACGTATATCGTAAATCAAATTACGTAGAAAATCCAAGGTTAATTGAGCATGGCGCACATAAAAAACTTTAAAATATTCCATTTATCAGTGGGCTTTGTTTGATCGTCTTATCAATACTCTTAGCTTTGCGCGCACCTTCGCCAGGATGTCAAAAAGCACAAAGAGATCATTGTTTGAAGGTTAGATAGTTTAGATAGCCGCCTTATAGTTTTGTTTTCACAGGGCTATCTCCAAATTAACTTTTGAAGTAAATGCTTGGAACAAAGGAGTTGCGTGTGCCTAATTCTTGGCATTTTTGGGATTTTTTGCATGATTGAGGTCTGTTTCATCGCAGGGTGAAAAGGGTGATCCAATATTTAATCTTTTTGGGATTTTCCAAAAGTTACAAAGACTGAAAAGATAATTGTTGAAACAATCATTTTGAAAAATGTTATGGAAAGAAAGTGTCATAGAAAGTGTCATGAAAGTGTCATAGAACCCCCAACTTCAGTCACAGAGGCCTTTTATGTGTGTGCGATTATCGAAGTAAATGGGATTTATAAAGAGTGCGTTACCGTTATTTTCAATTCTTGAGCGTTTGGCTATTTTAACACAGGTAGGATAGGCGGTTGTTGTGTTCTTGGCAAATATGTATATTTGTGTAAAGTCGTTGTTTGCGCATACTGCTGTATGTTTAATGAAATTCTTCTATTTACTCTGCACCCAGTTATAATATCTTTGAATTTTCCCGTGCTACTACTGATTCTTGCCTTTCGCTGCATACTATTCTATTTAATTTCCGAGTAAAGGTAGCAATTGTCGAAAGATATAGCGTGCGTACGACACGTCCCTACAAATCGTATCTCATCGGCGCCATTGATGTCAGGCGATGCGACTTCCTGGTGGGCCAGGCCGTGTTGTGTGGCATATCCCTTTATTGAATTCTCTAGCTATTATGCTACGGTGCCGACTGACTTTCTTATTATCTGAAGCGATTTCATACATGTTCATTTGCATGAAGTTTGACGTACGCCAGGGGAAGAATTTTAAGTCGGTTTGGTATTATTGAAGACTGAATATCGTTTAGAAAGTTGAAACCAAACTAGAAACGAGGTATAACAATATAATTTTATGATTGGAAGGATTTTACGCAAATATAATCACGCATACTCACAATATGGCGACATCAGGGTATAAAACTGTGTGAACGTGAAGTATTTGGTAATCATTCTAACCGAAACTCTTGCGCTGGTTGTTTTTACTATAACATACAGCATACGCTATACTACACGTGCAGCGTTGGGTTTTTCATCTTATTGCCAGAATATCATATGGCTATTAGCATATATGAACCATAACCAGCGACGGTCATGTCATAGAAATTGTTTTTGTCTCCTCATACATTTCTGAAATAGATCGCTAGGTCGCAGTACCGTAATATATACCTACTTAAACATAGGGCGTATAATACGAGGTTTTCGTGACGATTATTATAACCCGCCCGGATTAATTGACGGACTGTCCACACTAAGAATCAAAATCGTGATCGAAATTCCGACAAGGAAACAATGGCCCGTCTTAGCCGCTTTCTAATCTGTCAATGTCATCTTAGCCAAGTTTACATTTTGAACACGCAAGTGGTATTAAATGAACGCCTACAGACTTCATTGTTAGTCGATGCAGATGAACGTTCCAGAAACACACTTAAATATTGTTTGATCCGATCTCGGTTGTATTTGTTTGTCAAAGTATGTTCTACGTTTACTCTGAAACATAGATGCCCATAATGAAGTTTATGAACTGTTTCCAAGCGTATCAAACCAAACAATGGTTTTTGCGAATCGTGACGGCCGTTTTACAACAAACCGCTTTGAAAATAGAATTTCTGTTTCATCATAAATGGCGGCGCTTTGTTATCACCTGTTCCTTCCGCTGTCTGCTGATTGAGGCTTAGACTGGTGTGTGGCGCTATGAAGCGTTCATGTTTTTAAGAGGGAGTTTCTGTCTGCGGGTGAAGTTGCAGTCAATTTTAAACCTCAATTATAGAGTTTTGAAAAATATATTGTTTAGCAGAGAGGATCGACTGACTTTACTCTGAAAATCATCATAGTGACTTCCCCATTTCTTTGTCTGGACTTTGCCTGAACGTGCTTATATAAAACTGAGTTTAATATAATCAGACATGATCAGATTTATAAAGTGTTTGAGGTTGCGTGGGTGGGTGATGGTAGTATTTTATAACACCTGTTTCACCGACAGTGGTTGTAATTCAGCACCCACGGAAAATTGGGAGTATTTTGTGACGTCAAACGGCATCGTATGACGACACACATAAAAGGTTAACCGCCTCTGTGACTGAAGTTGGGGTATCTATGAGACTTATTGTCTAAACATTTGAATCATTAGGTATTGAAACACCATTTCTAGATTCGAAAAAGAAAAATTATAAAATGTTCTTAATCAACTGGTATTTCGATTGTAGTCTAACGATTTGTGTGGGATTCAGACTGAAACACCAGATCAGGAATGGGATGTATGTACATGTAATGGCTTGCTCGTTTCCGGTCTTTAAGTACATTTGTCGCGTAATTCTATATCCGGAACTGGCGTTTGACGTCATAAAATCTTTCTCAGCGTATGGAGTTTTAACCATAGAGTCTGTAGAATGGTGGCTCCTGTATATCGTTACCATAGATTTATATGGCCTATGTGACTATTTTATTTTCAAGATACGCATCGATTTTTATACCCCATTTAACTGCTATTATTATGTATTTGACATTCCATCCACGAGGTGGTGGTTGAATAATGAGGGGTAGGGTGGATGTCACTAGGATGCATGCTAATTCATGCAAAGCTAGTAAGCGTTATCATAGTCTTCGTTATTCGACGGATTGCACCGCCCAGCCAATAAACTGGGTGGCTATTCAGGTACTTGACAAAGCGTTATCAACTTTTCGAATCCTTATTGACGTCTTGCTGACAGACGGTGTTTATCGTTACAGTTTAAACTATGGAATATCACGTCACGCGACATCAACATCATGTCATGGCACAAAAGCAGTGGCAATCATCGAGTGACCATTTCCCGTGTTTGCACCAAATTAATGAGCCTTACAATGTCAATATATAGTGCTGTAATTTGATCTACATTGTGGAGTCCGGTATTTTGGTCATTTCTGGCGTTCTTTCTGACTCAAACTTTTCCTCGTCCGTATAAATCGAACATGATACGTAGCCTCCGACGTTGAGATATCAGCCCTTCACGCTTGGCCAGATTTTTGGAGGGCATTAGGTATATTTTCGTTGTCGTGTTACGCTTACACATCGAGACGACTCGTGGCATAATTTCTCAAGCGTTATGGCGTGGGAAAATTCTGTGATTAGTTCATAGAGCGGTCACTGCGGGTAACAGTAACAACATTTTTTGAGGTCCAGTACAAAATAATGTTGTCCACTATTGCAAACTTTATTGCAAATATGATTTTGTTGTATACGTTGAAAAAGTATACGATCCAATCCAAGTATAGTTTAGTGCGCAACTTGAAATGTTTTAAAATGAGTTTCGTTCCATTTATACAGTTGCAGTTGACAGCGTGATATGCGTTGGTTCCATTCCTCTAAATCTTTAATGTCGTCGTTTCCAATGGTTTGCATTTGCCCAAAATCTTCACCGAACCGAATAAAATTAGTTTTCGGAGTTTTAGTTTATATCATTTTTGTAGAACAAAATGAATATAAAGCCCACGTGTGCAGCGATCCGTGGAATGTAAAATGATTTCGACAGGAATTATCCTATTATATTTATGAGCTTTACGCCAGTTTGCCAACGGAAATGAAGTCGAGATAAAAAGGTGCGCTGGTCAGGCAGAGTTTCCTGATGTAATCTTCTCCGGAATGAAACAATACCTTGAATAATAGCTTTTGTACCAACCCTTGAATTTTCTAATTTGTCAAACGTGGTATACCATTGCATATAGTTAAATCGAGGCTGAAACCTACGACGTAAAATCCTTAACGCGGGGCAAATTACGAAAGTTCATAGTATAGGCCATACAAAGCAGGCAATGGCATACTTTGACCCGAAGAGTCGTATCCGATTTCTATGTAACGGGGAACTCGATACTGGTAAAACATTGCGATTATTCATTCGAAGACAATGCTTCGTCGTGCGGTGTTTGGGGCTAAACACATAATCCGTGAATGCAAAATCAGATCTGCACGATGTCAAGCGCATACCTAAAGCTGCACGTTTGAGATAGCATCCGATTCTGCATTCTTCGGTGACACGTAGTATATATAATTACAGCGGAAGGTACTGGAAGCCTTAGCCAATTATTGTTGCACCTTACAGTCGATTATATTTTTGGCTATGCCAAAGTAATTACCGCATACCGTCTATCCGCGTCTAATATTAGTAAAAGTTTAATTTGTTAGCTGTAAATAGAAAATGTCACAAAATATTGTCGGTTGTAACAGACTCCTCATATGTCACACTAATCAAGAATGTGGTAGAAAGCTCTAGTATTGTTGTAAAGTATTTAGTTATGGTCTCAGACATTAGAACTTCCACAGAGATACTAATGTGCAGTAAGAGTATAAGTTGTCTAATGTTTATACTACATAACTCTTCAGTGTTTGTTATTGCAATTTTCAATCAGATCATATTACAAGGTGTTTGGTGTGCCTTTGCTTATTCTCATATATATATAAGAATTCATGTCAACAAATCAATATCAGGATTTAATTTTATATAATTCAATCACAATCGGAGTTTATGATGTGTTGAAATATGATGTTTGTGGTTTCTTGGATTCTAGCATATAATTGAGAATTCGCAAAAACTAATTGCTGGATCTGATTATAATTATTTTCTGTTAGAAGTCAAGACTTTTGTCTGAAATGTGTTATTTCTTATATTTACAGACGAATTAAGAAATCGAACGGAGAATAGTCAACAGGTTGTTGCTGATCCGTCGAGTATACCAGAATCTGCACAATATCTACTTTATCAACAGAGACTTGCAGAACGCGCTAACGGAATAGACTCACAGAAAGTGGACTTAAAACACAGACCGTCTGACGAAAGGCCGAGAACACTGCACTCGCCAGAACGCTACCACCCTGCAGAACGCAGGTCGGCATCGCCTGTCACCGACAGAGGTGGCGAAACAAACGCTTCGACGAAGCCAATGGTGTTGCTGCAACCTCCCACCGCAGCCAACTTTTCCAGCGTCGGGTCAACGCATCCAGCACAACTTTCAAATCCAGTACTGCATGCTGCAGCGGCTACGATGCATCATCACCCGTATATGTACTCGATGATGTATCCCACTGGAGTACCACTGGATCCAGCGCTTGGAGGGGCGTTCGCAAGAGTACCTGGAGCTGGTCTGAAAGAAGGCGAAGGACCAACATCTTCTCCAAACGCATCTCCGAATGCAAGTTTGTCTGCTGCAACAGCTGCGGGAATGCATTTTCCGGCTGGGTTAATGTACCCACTTGCGGCTAACCAAGCACTTTTAATGGGAACCAGGGCGCCCGGGAGTATTTCTGACATTTCTCCGTTACTTCTTGCACAACCGTCGGCGGCATATCCAGGTCATGCTGGCGTTGCACCAAATTTTTTGATGGAATATAAACGATTACTAGAAGGCTTACAATTCCCTGCCGCCACGTATCCTATCCAGTCACAATTTAGTGAACAGTACATTAGAGCCCTAATGGGACAAGGTATTGATTGTTCGAAAGAAGCATTGGCTTTGAGCGCGATTCCGGGTAGATTACCACAAGGAATGCCTCTAGCTGCTCTGCAGGGGCAACCTGGGGTTACCGAGCTGATGCGTTATCAAGAGCAATTGAACTCCGCAATGGGAATTTTACGGCCTCAAGATGGGATGTCGCCTCGTGCCGCATCGCCTTACGCTAGCAAAAGACGGACAGAGTCGCCAGTGCTTCCGAACGGCAATAAGATTGCCACATCGTCATACCCTTATCACGTGGCTTCACTCGCACAGCCCACTATAAATAACCTAAGCTATGCTCGTCCCCACGCTCGTTCACCGGCATCTGTGTTTTCCCAAGGCCACCGGTCACGGTCACCACAATCGGAAACAAGGAAACCGGAACCTGAGCGATCCGTTTACAGAAACCACTCACGCGATCTGGATCGAGAAGTCAACAACGCCACCAAAGATCTGGCATCGACTTCTGCCTCAATTAATCAGAGCAGAAACAGCAGTGAACACGTTGCTCATTCATATTCTGTTACTGATGTCACGGGGAGAAAGATACAATTACCGTGAGTTCCTTTCCTTATTTTGTACATTTTTAAACTAGAAATTTGTTTCTCCTGCAACGCCTTTTAAAGAACGTGGACTTGTACCTTTTCATTTACACGAATTAATTGAAATCTTAATGCAATGTAAGTAAAACCTGAATGACAAAATAACAAATGATCCATTTCTATATTTTGTATCGGTGCGATATTCACGATCGAGTTAAATTTTAGCATTCTAGAATCATGTATAGTCCTATTTGATGAGAATACTTCAAAGTTTGATACACTGATGGTGTATGAAAAATTAATGACAAAAATTGCCAATATTTTCAATATTGAACTATTATTTCGCACGACTTATTTCACTCGTCACAGTTTTCAGAAAGTTTTTTTGAATAGGCAATACATTTGAACCGGGGCCTATGAAAATAGTATATATTATTTATCATAACTGTAATTCAGAAATAATAATATATTTTCAACATACCCTTCCCATGTTATGATTCCTCATATTTCCAAAATGGGAGACAAATCTACATTAATCTTTGCACATGTTCGATGGCTGTTTTGTGCGACTCGTGATTTGTTGGTTTTACAAATTACATCTCGATACTTGGATTCCGGATTAGAAGTATCATGTTGCGCCCAATCCACAACATTGGCTTGTGTAAGTGCAAGGCGGCACGCGAACTGTAACAATGATAACCTATCGTCGCATTGGCAGATTGATTTGTTTGTAACACAGTTTTCCACAATATTTATGGGGTGATGCGTACAGAAACAGGCCTATTTCATATCTAGGGTCTTTCACGTATCAGTGCAAGGGGTAAACAAATAAATTAAATCCCTGAACTGGAATTGATAACAATCATTGATTAACTCAGTAAAAATAATCTCGTAAAAAGATTATTTGCGTGAAATAACAATCAATGTTGCATTGGTCGGTTGTTTTAAATGCAGAGATTTCTGACATGCATTATAACAAAAATTATCTTGTGTAATATTTTAATATCATCTGTAGAAATATTTAAATTGATTCAATATCCTGTACGCATCCCGGGCTGGATCGAATCGAACAGGATGTGACTTGAACGTGTTTGGGAATCGACCAAAAAATATTTCGTCACAGTGTATTTCGTTTTTTTACATCCTGTATTCAGATATTTGTCTAGAAATGTTTTTTCTTCGAAACAACGTATGACGAAGTTGTTGTAAAGAATTTTCCATATTGCAATTTATGATATTGAGTGACTAAATAACTGTCCTATGCTTTATCTTGCGCTCCAGATGTCGATAACATTTTTGTTCTAATTATATCTAATGTATCACCGCCAAAAGTTGTTTATTGGAATGAAATGAAAAATATTTTGAAAATAATTCACAGTAGGGAATGCTTCTACGTCCATTCACTAAGGTGCACGTCCTATACATATACCAATTCAAATATGTGACACGGAATAAATTTTTCCATTGGTATTTGTTTATTAATACTCAGCCAAGAATTGCTCTCTAATCGTCCATGTTTGTTAAGGAATGAATTGCTATTTTTATGAAGATTTTAGCAAGTTTCAATAGCGAAATGACGAATTGCCTCTCTTGTGATCAGTTCGAAAGTTTGAGCGTTCGTTTATTTATATCATTACAAATATATCAACTAGTTTGCCAAAATATGGTCAGGATTTCCACATTTTATTTCTTGTAATGAAACTAGATCGGTTATAAGATAAATTTTTATGTGAATATTAAATCGAAATTACGATCTTGAATATTTTATTCCCGTTCGAAATCTGTCCGGAATCTGATCTTCAAACAAAGAAAATCTTGTCAAACTATTAGTACAAGCGGAATAATATATTCTTGCCCTTCGTCACGTTTGTCCGGAGGCGGTGTTCCGTTTTTGCCTGGTTTGCAAATTTTCTCGTTATCGGACTTTGACAAGTCGATCCGAGCAAAGTGCGTCACGATATTAATTTTCTATTATGTTATTATTGTTTGAGGCTTGCCTAAATCTAAGTATCGATTTTTCGACGGAACGGATTATCCGGTCTACGCGTTACCAATGTGATTGTTTACTAGTAACTTAAACGCTATGCTAACAATTTCAACACAACATGCTGCATTCGTCAAATTCCGACCGCCTTACGGTTTGTACGTTTTGACCAAAAATCCCTGTTACGTGGGTGACGTGGTACTACTGCTATTCGGATCTGAGATTCATTTTTCACATTCATGTATTTAACGTCATTCTGGCAAGGACACAGATGATTCGTGCCGTGATTTTTAGTGAAAAATATTTTTACTAATTTTTTTTTACCTCAAATAAAAAAACAATGTTTTGTATTGAATTTCATCGATTATTGAAGAATCTTAAGTCAAGCGTATAGCAATGAAAGACGATTTAAAAGTAACTTAATTTGTTATATACCTCGCATAGTCGGATGTGTTTGGAAAAAATGTCTCGTGTTGTTTATAGGGAAGAAAACTTTACCGTAACACTCAAGCATCCTCTTCAAATGTGGCCGATTCGGTCAAGTTAACTTCGTCAGCACTAATTCTAAATTGGGAAGTTTTACGAAAACAATGAGTTGGTTATAAATATAGGTTAAAATCGGTCATGGGTAAAATTGACACCATACGAATATTAGAATATCAAGGAAATTAGCATTTGCGAGAAGCGTAATAGCATTAAGAAATTTTTTATTTCCTTCTTTTTGCGTCTTGTCATTTGAAAATTATCGTTGGGGTCTATTTTCACCACTACCAGATTTCTGTAACTGAAATAATAATGCTCCTCTTCTCTGAAAACGTGTTGCTAACCCAATTCCGAAATTAATACGAAATAGAGAATTCGTGAGAGGCGTTACAAATTGTAAATTGCTATCTAACCACCACATTTACCATAATTTGTATTCGCAAAGACAAGTACTGTTCGATCGAATGAATATCTTCTGCCAAAATTACATGGCATACATAGTTCATGTCACTCTCGGTGCCACATATCTTGCGGGACCGTTTCATTCCTAGATGCAAATCTGAATAGAACGAACATTGTGGTTTGGTCTTGCGCTGTTTAGTCTGCTCATAAGAATCAATCATCGCCTCGCAATAATGAACTTGAATATGAAATATGTAGGATATGTTGGACATGAAATAGCTACATTAAAATCCCACTGCGATTACGCTTGGTAATCTGTATTTCCGGAATGTATATGAAAATACATATCATGCCCTGGAACTTGACTATGGAGAATAGCATTTAAACCAATATATTCTACTGCATACCATTTGTTATGTTAGCTTTTGTTATTCGGCAAACATGCCGTGGAAAAATTAAAGAATAAAAGTTTATGTAGAATAAACTTTAATTCAATTAGTTCAACTGCAAAACAAAATTTACTACTTTCAACCTTTGAAGAAAAGGATGGGGACATTCTGTCTCCCACTCGCATATCATTCAACATATCATGACATGGTTGAATCACGCGCAAAGAATAAATATATTCTAAAGATAAATGTATGAGCAATTGTATGAGAAGTTCAAATTCTGACCTTTAGCTGACTGAAGATATTTTACTCTCGTGTAAGACCCCTGTACTTTTGAGGTTTTGTGGACCGTTCATGCGAATACATGGTGTATCCTTGTAATCTGACACTATGTTTGCAACTTCAGAACGAAAGTATGCAGTAGGGCGGCGTGACGATCTTTGTGCTTTGCCCAAGGTTACGCTTCTAGGACGCATAGTTCTTAATTGACTTTGATCTAGATACTTTCAATATTATGCCATTTTGAGTCTAGGTAATCCTATCCACACCCTTGGGGATGAAATTCAATTTGGAAAATTTTCACATTTTTTTTATATTACTGGCCTTTTTTAAGCTTTGATGGTTTTGGTCTTGACCTTATAAATGGAAAAAGAGTCAATAATCAGACCGTGTAAACATCTCGGTTGATAAGATACCGAAGTAGATTTGAGTGACATGATATTTTTATGGTGATTCAACCCGTCTTGCCGAATTATTGATGACTCTAACTTGACACAAAACGTTTGTACTACCGCATATTATAAAAGTATCTAATCACGCCAAAAATATTTTTACTCCTATGATATACTTTTAATATTTGCATGCCATGTGTTATTTCCGTTTTAATCATTTCTGAGAAGTTGTGTGATTACTCAGTATAACGTCATAAATTTATTACCATTCATTTTTTCCCAGGGCATTTTATTCGGGCGGCGCGTCGGTCCACGTACCACATGGCTATCCTGTCGGAATGGCCGTTCATCATCCAGGAGATGAGAGATCTTCTCCATCACCTCATTCTCGTGCAAGTGACGAACGGAGTTATCATCGGCCATCAAGAGAGAGGTCTCCTGGAGGTGATCACCTACCAAATAAGAGGCGATCTCTCGACACCCAATACAGGCATAGCCCGGCATTAAATGATCGGCATCACAGTCGCCCAGAATCACCGACCACTAACGGACAAATTCCAGCAGTGAGACATTCCCTTGTAAATGGAAGTGTTGAAGTGGCCGCGGAACTAGACAAAGTTCGCTCGCATTTGATGCGTCCAATAGGACATGTTGGTACACCCAATCAATCTGGGCTAGCCGAAGGGCGTGAGCAGGGAAGTAGCAGTCCCGCGACCACGAATCCGTACCATCTGCCCCCGTATCTCGCCCCTCAGTTTATAATGCCACACTACGCCCAAGCACTAGCAGGCGCTGCCAAAGGGTCGGATTTGGCAGCATTGTATAAAGCTAGCGAGGTTAGTATTGTTTTTTGTATCAAATTTGTTCGACTTTTGTATAAAAATTTCACCACTGATTCTGATTGGACGTAACCAATTATTGTTTGCATTGTTCCATTTGAATAAATTAATATTTTTGTCTTCGTGTTACTCTCAACCACTTTTTATTATTATTTTAGAACGGAGCCGATTATTCAAGATTGTCCAGACTTCCATTTGGTATGGCGTTGTTGCCCCAACCACAGCAACATTTACTAGCGTCTGGACGATCACCTCACGTGCTTCAACAGGTATGGTTTGAATTTGCTCTTATTATTAGTGCTTCGAAATGATTACTGCATGGTAAAAATCCACTTGAAAACTCAAACCTTTATTAATTACTATTCTAAAGGTATTTTTCTACATGCAGGAATACGCTGCTGCCGCATTGAAGACCCAGTCATACTTGGCTTCGCAAGCAGCAGCTAAAGAAAGTGGAAAATCAAGTCCAGCCAATATCAGAGAAAAGCACCATTCTTTATCTCAGTCCATTCACCCAAGTCTATTGACACAGGAACCTTCTCGAGCTTTGTCTCCTGCAAAACAAGGACTAAAACCGAAACATTCACCAAGCCCACAGTTTTCAAAAAGCCAGCATCACCAACTCATGACAGGTAGGTACAAAAATAGGTTATTGAATATGTTCAGGTATCTTGTTGGTCCATTAAACTTAAGTTTTATATATCCGTAGAATCTAAGAAACTGTAATTTTTAACAGATTCACATTCTCCACCCGGTGTTAGTATCAGCAGCGCTAATGCTAGTTCTGATGGACGCCGATACATGTCGCCTCGTCCCGAACGACGTGACACGTCCCCAAAACCCGTGGCATCCAATAAACCGTATAGGCCGAACCCGATGTTACGGGACTTGGAGCGAAGCAGGAAAAGGAAACTACTTGAGGAAGAAATAGCGATGGGGGAGGAAGCGAGTAATTTTCGTCAAGGAAAGCAGCAACAACTTATACAGCAGAGACAGGATCAAAGAGAGCAGTTGCCAAAAGACGCAAAGAAAGATCCAAAAAGGCGAAAACAACTCATTACTGGTAAGATTGAATAGATATTCTAGGTCTGGAATATAGAATAATTTTGTCCCTCGTTTCTTAATTGCGGCATTTTTCAGTTGCCATAGGTGCGAATGAACTTTAGTTATCCAGACCGTACATGTTACTTACAGTTGGCTACAACTATTCTATTTATAAAAAAAACTTTTCACTCACAAAGTAAGTAGTAAATTACTTCGAAGTTTCATTCTTAAATTTAATGGCAAAGCGGTTTCGTTTATTAAATATAGAATAACAATATTTCATATCATAAGCTCAATCCGTATACACAATACCCACCTTTTCAATTCTTCTTAAAATATCCCAATCGTCATGATCATGAATATTTATCGCCGGAGGAATCTTTTACCTTTCTCTGAAATGACCGTTGTTTGTCACTTCTGGGTAAAATTATTTAGAGTGGAACGAAATACCACAAGGATGTGTACTGGGGCCGGTGTTTTTTTCAACCTCTATTATGCGCACACATTTAAAATCATGTTTTCATTGTCGGTCGGTCGTTTATACCGAAATATCACCGATGATATTGTGCATCCTTTGATGCTTAACAGAGCGTACATTCACGTATCCTGTGCATGGTGCTCAAGTTTGGCCATTTGTGCCCTAACTTATGAAGCGTTGATAAATAAAATACTAATGTGATGTGAAAATAGACAGATAAAATGCTTTTCTTTTGGTGACTCATGGCGCTTAAAATTTGTACAACAATCTGGTTAAGCAGAGCGTATAATGAAGTCAAGTATTTCATAGGGACAAGTCAAAACAGAATGAATCCGGGCAGCTGGGCCCTCAATTCCGTTTCAATAGAATCCCAGTTCGTAAACATCTGTGTATCGAATCTTGACAATAATACCAAGCACCATTTTTAGTCGTACATAAATGAGCAAATGCGAATTTTACCACAAATTTCTGAAAAGGATTTTTCGTCTTTGTGAATTTTACACGTTCTCGTTTCCAACTAATCTTAAGTTCTTTCTGTTTGTCGTGTACCGTATGAGTAAATGGTGGTGTAATGGATGTCGTCTAAGCGATTCCATATTAGTTTTCTCCTGTTTTTTTTTATTTAAATAAAAGATCCGACCACACGCCGCATTCGATGAGGTCACTCCCACTTGAGTTTAGTTTGTTTATCGTCGGTAATCTATGTGCCGTTGTGCGGCATGTCTGGCTTGGTGTGGCCGTGGTTGAGACATGCTGGGAAGTTCCTAATATGGACGGACTTGATGCTAAACAGGCTTTGTCACTTTCATGAGTCCACGAGCGATTAGTCTGTCTGTGTGCGAGTGGAGTTTTTACTTCCTTTGAGTGTTCCTCTTCAAAATATAGAATTCTTTGATCTCTGATAATAAGAATTGTTGATATTGATGCATAAAAGCATCCGGAAGCCTCAAATACTGTAATCTCTTTCAGCTTCTACGTGTTGGGCTTATAGCGTGAAAGCTTCTCCCAAACAAATTGCTTTCCTATTGTTCACAGTCGAGTCCTGCATTTTATCTGGATAATTTCTTACTGCCGATTCTTGGTTGATATGCGGTAATAATTCTCGAGTGAGAATTTGAGCCAAACGTTAAAATGCCAAAAAGCTTGACGACGTGCAATTTGTCACATTCTGTTCTGCATAAAATTTCATTGCTGGCATATTTAGAACCTAATCTGAAATTCCAGGGGCGTATTGGCTTGTTTCCATTTCTCACAGCAATTTGGATACAAACTTGGACAAATTTTCCGGATATTACCGATTACGCCATAGGTACTGTATTTTCCGACATAGGTTTCACTGAATTATTATTTATGGATCGGGGGAACACAAATGTCCCCTGAATTTGACAAATAAGAATAAATCGCAACTTTGTTTGGTGAGATTAGTTCAAATTTTAGGCAAAGAAATTTGGACAAACAACTGCAACGTTAAAGCTTTAAGCGTCCTTTTAAAGATGCTTTTCTGTATTTACTCGTCTCAGCGAGTTCCACAGATAAAGTTTGCCAACTATGAGTGTAAAGAGGAAAAAAATATATTGATAGATTTAAAACTATTTGGGTTTGGAGTTTGGATTGAAGGTAAACGACATATATATGGAAAATATCAAAGAAAATCTATAATGTGTCTAACTTTCTTTCATGTTGAAGACCATACTTTTCCAAACATCTCTGAATTTTAGAAGAGTCTTTAATATGTTGAGATAGAATGTCATATGTTTCATTTTAGATTGCCAACAAATACTAGAACGGTGTTTTCCATCTAATATATATATATATATGCATTGGTTATCACTATATTATTATTAGTTTTCTTTTGATGCGGAAAAATCGTGTCAGCTTTTGGTTTAAGCTTTGTACACACCTCAGGCGACAAAATAAATAGCCGTTTGACGTCATCATCGCTTGTTGTAGAACGATAATAATATCCGTTTTGATGCACGAGTGCAAATTTGGCATTTTCGCGCGGCCCAGTGTTTATTTTCGTGCACCCAAAATTGACAGCAAAGTCGAGGTGCCAAACCGCATTATAGACAAACATTTGCACAGTTTCTCTCACGAATACAAGTTTGCGGAAATAGTTAAAAAGGTCATACTTGTCGTAATTTAGACGCAACTTATTTTTATATTTAGAAGGAGGTGACTGGTGATACTTTGCGACGATATTGTTGATATTTACGTTTGAACATTTACAAGCGTAGTATAGCTATAGTCCTGTCTATTAATGAATTCGAGCCAATAGATTCCCTCACTCGTACCCTATAGAGTATCATCGTGGACTATTGTAGTTGTCTTTCAAAAATTACCACGCAATCTTCCCGTTGGAAAAAGAGAACGTATATATTATAGCGAATCATAATTATTATAAAGATTTTCCTTTTTTGAGTACCGGACAAAGTACTACTAGTATTGGAGGAATCGATCGATAAGCCCAGCCCAGTCTTTGGATGCACTTTTCATATCCGAGCAGTGATAATAAATTGCGTATTATGGATTAGCAGTGACATGGTTAGCTTGTTCCTGCTAACGATTACAACAACTTTTTCCTCGAGTTTGTGTATGGTATTGGCAGGTATAACTAAATATATATTCGGCATGCATATTCCATCTATTCCTACATAATCAACTCAGAGTAGTAGCTTTTTCAGATTTAATATTACCCAACAATTTGTTTGGAAGATTTGACACAGCGTTAAGTAGATTGATATTTTGCTTTTGAGGAAATCTATTTTTATTTAGAGCGGACGTTCCCGTTAGTGTGTAAACCCATCGTCATGTGGATGTTGATATATCACCAACAATCTTTTGATAATTTCATTTTTTTTATTATTTTCAAACTTTTCAAATTATGACGGATAGCGAAACAAAAATAAACGAATCGTTGCGCGCTGGCGGCTGAAAAGATTACGATGGATTATTGATAGTTTCGCAGTTTATGACCTGTGATATCACTTAAGAACAACAGTCGGCCAAGTATAGGCTTCCATCAAAATGAGATTTCAAATCTTGATTCGTCAGTGGCAAATGCTCGATCTTACACTATGACCATGCTATACCCACAAAACCGTGACTAGTGAAGAAAGGGTTAATCTACAACCGTGTGGGCGACACGCACGAATTATCAGTAAAACCGCTGGTTACATGTTACAAGCCAGCGAAATTTTATTTTATCCAAAAGACTAAATTATAGCTTTCTACTCCATTCTAGCTTAAATCTTGATTTTAGTCAGTTACCAAATAAATAATGCCTGGCTTTTTACCGTTGACTCATCCTGTTTATAATATGACAGGTGTCTTTGCTTGTCAAACTAATTTCAATAATAAAATGATAAACGTATCACAAAAACTTCGGATTTGTTTATTTCAAATTTTATATAGCCATTTCCACGACAGTGTGGCTTGACGCATTTCAAATATATATTTGTGTTCAACTTTTCAGTCAGTAGTGTTTCAACTCTCAAATGAAAGCCTAGAGATCATTATGCTAGGAAGTCCTTTCCAAATTATTACCATGTTCCAACGAAACAGAGGCTGCTTTTAATAATCCCATACTTATAGTTAAATGATGTCATCGATGTCATTATTTTGCAAGCATCAGAAATGTTCAAATGTCTTAGTATCGGTATCGGACAATTTTCAGGTAATGTGATATTGTTGTTTGGTTTAATGCACGTTGATATGCTTGTATAAACATATATTCAAATATACACCTATAGTTTTACGTTCGTGAAATCTGTATCGGCTTCTCAAAATATGCACATTACACATTTTCACTAATTGATGTGGCGAGAAACACTTATTGAAAATTAATCACCCTTATTGCTTTGTTTACATAACATGTGGAAATTGAATATTGCGGTTCCTATATATTCTCTAACCGTTATCTTGAAACTACATATCAAATTCGTATTAATCCTTTCTGACGCTAGATTTCTCAGAGCGAAAAGCATGACCTGTGATTTGGATAATTCAGCAAAGATTCATGTTGGCAGATAAATTTCATGACATCACATATCATTTGATCCTTTCTTGTTACCTATTCATCAAATTGTATCAATTAGGAGCCATGTATCGCACATGTGATTTTCTACAGTTAAAAAAATGGCGGTGTTGACTAATGTGAATGTTTTGCTTATGTACATGTAAATATATATAAAAGGGAAGATTTCTGTATATATGACCCGGGCATGGCCAATAGATGTTGAAATACACCTAATGGAACCCCACTGTAATTTCGATTCATTTTTAGCTAAAAGTACAGATAGCCGAAACCCAAAATTTACGTTTATAATGACGTACATCGCCATGGGTGGTTTAATAATTCAACCTGACGGATGAATAGTGACATCCCTAAATAAAAGGTTCAACTTTACAAATACTTTTCCTCGTTCTCGGATCATTCTCTGATCAAATATATCCTATTGTGTTTCCCGATTCGACCAGTTATAAATTTGCTTGAAAGAATTACGATTCAGACGCACACATTGGGAATTTGAAATTTCAACAACCGCAGTGATTACCTGGTTCAACATGTAAATGGTTCTTTCACACGTAAAGGTGTGATTAGCTTGTTCCCGCGGTTTTAGAGGATTTCTGTGAATTCTACTCAAGCACATTGTGTGCGTATGCTTCTTTCGATAGTTAGTTTTACAAAACGATTATCGCTCTTTTTTCTTATGTATGGATTATACAGAATTCGCGGGTTATGTGTTAAGGAATGTCATAGAACGGCGTTATATTGAATCTAAATTTCTAAAGGTCGTTAAGAATGCATCGTTGTGAGGAAACTATACTTACATTCGCAAACCTGGATTTTTCATATTCAGTATGATAGCACACCTCTCAGTACATTGGTAAATAAACGAATGAAGCACATACTCAATGCTCACGCCATGGACCGATCCAACTCCGATATTCGAAAGCTCTAAACATTCGCAAACACAAGATTTAATGCACTCAAATCAATGCTTGAAAAGCATATTCTTCGCAGCCAAGAACGAGAAAGCAAATTCAGTTATCAAGTCAATATTTTGCATTATCCTGGAAATTTTAACCAATACTGTTTTCATGCTGTACAACGCACGGGTTGGTACTCGGTGGTTACAATTCAAACTTATGATAGAACATACATTCTATTTCAGCCTTTTAGTGCAACTTTTGATTTATCTCTTGTCAAAATAATTCAAATTCACACGCTTAGAAAACGTAGGTGGTCTCTTTAACTATGGTCTATTAAAATTGATTCATCATTTCAAATAGGGAACTATATATAACCAATCGTGAACTTAGGATGAAATGGCTCTCCCATGTTCCGATTTACCCTAGGCCGGCTTCGATTGAGCCGACTTTTTTTCAAACAACAAACAAATGCAAACGAAGCATGCAAAATGCACAACAGCCACACGCAAACAAGGTTTCAAATACAAACACTGCCTGTATGACCTTCCAGGTTTTGGTTTTCATTGTCTGTAATAACGAGAAAGGGTATATTGTGATGTATTAGGCAATTTTGTCACAAAGAAAGATCGAAAAATTTTCATTTAAAAAATTCGCCATCGGCAGCACAATGAATGAAAAAATATCTGTTGTCATGCGCTTAAGTTTTTGATATATTTATTGTTAGTTTCGAGGACAATGCAAATCAAGTAGCAATTCCGAATGTATGATTTTATTGAAATAAAAAGGATCTGATCTCCGGAGCGCCTATTTTGTTCTGGGTGAGTGCTGATCGATAGATTTGTTGGACTGGACCCGGGAGTCAATAGAACACGAAAAAACCACTATTACAATGACAATACTTATGTCGGTTTGACGCATTCATTCACTCTAGTCACAGCGTATATATGTACTTCATGCATACAAATATTTGTGTTGATGTATGTCTGTTGTTGAAAATCTCACGAGACGGACGCCATTTTCTTTACTGTCGACGATGCCATTCCTACTACTGGTTTTGGTTTTCTGCACGAATGATATAAGTGTGTTGCCAATGGATAGACAAAAATGCTCAAATTATAATTGATACCGTGACAGTGCGGTATCGTTATCGACTTCACACATCACAAGGAATATAGTTCAGACTAAAAGTTGGAAAATTTGCATCTTAGTTGATCTTTTCTTGTCTAGTAATGATTTAATACTAGCACTAAATTCAATTTATCAATTTTAAAATGTTTTGAACCATTTGCGCACGTGGCAAATTCTCTTATTTATTTGTTTCGAATTGACCTTTAACGACGTTCTAATTAGATTTTCGTGATAATCTCTCGCATCAGGTGTTAAGCTCGTGCCTTGGTCATTAAATCTGGTGTCTTGTGGACAAAGGTCAGGGCATTTCTTAACTTACTAAATTCAAATAGGTTCCCAATTGATTGATCTGAATTTTCTATGATAGCTTGTAATATATTGAATTTGTAGTTTCATACTGCTGTGTTATTATCTGTCTGTCTTATTTTATATATATATGTAGTTTAAAATTTGGCACGCTTCAAATGATTTAAAATATTGTGTGTTTGGATTAAACGTCCCAAGCCAATACTTTTCCATGACGATTATGCGTACTGATCATTTGCTAATGTTCAACCTACATTGAAATAAACTATTTACAACTTATCTCATCTATGCCCGATGTTTTTCAGGCTTCGACGTTAAAGTCAATAATATACGTTAGTTGTCATAAAACAGCGCGAAGATTTATAATTTTGCTCGTAACACTTATTTTAATTACGCAGTGACCCAATTAGGAGATTAGTCACTTTAAATTTTAATTTCGAAGAATTTAATATGATTCGAAAAAATGAGTTAATTATGGTGCAAAGACGTGGAATGGTTTGGATGTTTAATTTTTGGAAGATTCCTATATGAAATGAATTTTGGAGAAATGGCTATCTTCCACTGTGATTTTTGATTTGCTTAAACCATGCAGACAATATTTGATATTAGGAAGTCAGAAATGTAGGTAGGCATATAAGCATTGCCGCCATCATATAGCGCTTTCCTTTCAGACTACCGGTATTCTGAATTAAAAGAATTATGGACATGTTACTTCACATACATAACCATTACACGATTGTTAGATCTCCCCAGTTTACATATTGTCATACAAACAACGGGGTCTTTATAACACGCAGTGCTTTGAACAATTTCTTAATCAATTAGCAATGTTTTAAATTCATGTAGCCATCATAGAAAGTGATCAAATAAACCTCGTCGCAACTGAATGCCGAAACGCACAAGATTTTCCGAGAAGTAAACGGCACAGGCACGCGATATATTTTGCGGGGGCGTTTTCCCATTCATTTAAATGGTGGAGGTTTCAGTTTTCAAAACTATTACTATCGCCTGACTTCTGTTGGCATAACGTGGGTAATGGCGTCGTTAGTCTGCTGCCAAAAAAATTCAAGTGTGTTTTGATCCGTAAAAATCGAGCACCTTTAATGTGGTATGTGCCGGTTCGATGCACACCAGAGCACTTCTTTCTTATTTAAGTACAAGTAGTAACCAACATCAATATGTTTTAGTTGTTTGTTCACATTAATAAACTTAATTTGAAAATATAAATGCGAGAATAGAAGTTTTATTAGGCTGCGAAAGACGTTTGTATATCGATTAGAATAATGAATCGCTTGTTAGTTCGCTGTTGTGTGTTATTGCAATGTAGATAAATAAGACAATAAATTTACACGTTCATGTTCACGTTTTACATGTTCATTTGGTCTCTTTTTCTATTTCTGTAGTCTAATATTTTTTTCAATTGTACGTCTATTTTATTGGCTTGACTATCTTTTTTTATCAGATGGTGACCCAGATATCGAGGAACACTTTCGTCGTTCGTTGGGGAAAGATTACAAGGAGACTTCGAACAAAGTCAGCATCACTGGTACTGTGGATGATCATTTCAAAAAAGCGCTCGGTGTTGGTGTTTGGGACAAGCTTCAAACACCACCATCAACGACGCCAATAAAAGCTGAACAGCGAGAGGTCGTTGTTCCTCACTCATCTCCTGCATTACCATCGTATTCCGTTGCAGTCGCTGCAGGAACAGTTCGTGGATACCCAGCGTATGCCGAAAGCAAGGAAGCCCTACGAATGTACGATCCTGCTTATTTAGCCAGTAGGGAGCGATATCATATACAAAGCATGGCAAATCAACAGCGACGGACTGAAAAATCTCCTCCAAGGGCACCCGGTTCCACTGTATTATATCCACCGAATCCACCACCCGTGGGTCCAGCAAAACAAAGGGTAAAAGCTAAGGCAGTTTTCCCGGAGGCTGCGTCTTTAGGGTCGGATATGAACAACCGGTCAGCGCGAGCAACTTCGCTAGGAAGTAAAGGATCGTCGCGTAGTGTTAGTGGAAGCAGTGCGGAAAGCTTACCTGCTGCTTTATGTAAGAGCCCGCCCACGTCATCGCCCATAAGCAGCTCTGCCGCTGAAGGGATTCCTCGTGTTCCGTCTCGTGGTGTATTGCAGAACGCCATTCCTTTCACTTTCGCTCAATCCGCTGGTCTACCAACAACGATTGCCACACACGCACTACCGCCAGTGATATCAGTTAGCGGGGTAACCCAGCAAAAACCGACTTCTCCTATTTCACCTCGTACCGGTGTCGTGGAGGAGCAGTCTCGAAGTCCGCCAGCTCAAAAATGCTCGGCTGCACCAGTTTCTGGAACAAAAGAACCGACGGAGCGGCAACCAGTTGAAAACGGAAAGCCAACAACGTGAATCTTCGACTTCAATAAATATGAAAAAGCACCGTGCCAGGCTGCCGTTCGGCGATATGGAGAGGGCAAGTATGGTGGCGCACCTATCACAAAACATGCAACCCCAAAGTGCATACAATGGTGACCGACGCCCAAAATGACATTCTTTGTCCAGATCGTTCTTAGTGTTAAGAAACATTAACCTTCAAAATATCAAAATAAACATGACCTGTATTATGCTGAACTTGAATCAATGACGTTGAATCTGCTTGATGATCACTTTTCTTTTGAAGCGTTCATTGGAAACAGGATCAAGATTATATTTCTTTATCGTGTCATCAGCATTGTAATTAATAATGTTAGCATTCCATCAGTTATTTGAGGTTTTGTCAAACTGACTTTTTTATCAATTACTCTGTGTTCTGCATTCTAGTGACTGAAATGATAACACAGCACTATTGTCATATTCTATTTTTGTCAAAATTCTATACAATCATTTAATTTTTTTTAAATATATCATTTGAAATGTGTGCTAACAACATAGAGTTTATTCTTAGATCATGTTTGGATGAGAAAATGAAGTCAATATAATTTTAGTTTCAGTTTTCATATTCAATTTTGCATTTACAATTTTTGGTCAAGAGAATCCGTTATGAAAATTTTCCCTAGTCCTAAGCCAGCTCTACTACTAAACCTTACATCTACAATTGAATTTATTAGAATATTATATTTTATATATATCATGATTGAATGCTCCACCTAGGAACTCATTTCGTTAGATTTATTTGAAAATAAAACATTATGCCATACTATATTGGTCCAGTGTGTGTACTCTCTTAAAAACAGGTTGAAGAACATAAAACATTTTTCTGAAGGGATTGCAAAGCTTTGTGTGGTTTCTCCTGGTAGGCTCAACCAATATTTGCAACAGTGCCCTCACATGATCTTTGAGTAAACTTATTGTTTGGTAATAAATATGTGCCATTATTTTCTTTTCAATTTTGGTAACTAAATTTATAATTAAGACTAATTGAATGGCTACAAATCTACTATTATCCCGAATATGGTAGAATGTGTTCTTCGCTGTATTATTTCTGATATAACTATATGTTTTATTAATTATTAGTATTATTATTTAGGGGTTTTTGCTTGATCACTTAACCCATTTGTCATATTTTCCTTGATTATTTTTTCTCTAATTCTGGACTGAAAATCGGCCCAAAACTTGGGTGGCGTCATTCATGGGTATTTTTTTAATGCTTTTTTTTCTATTTCCATGAAAATTCAAAATTTCTTAGTGGGGTCATATGCTTTGAGAGCTGATTTTTGTGTTGCTTAGGAATTTTCCATCGAAAAGATGATTGTTTCATATCAGCTCATCCTTGACTACAGCAGATGACGTGTGCCTATGCTGTAGCTGTAGTGTTATGAGCTGACTGATGAAAACAACGATCATTTCCTGAGTGAACGCTTTCTTTCATCATGTAGTAGTGTGGCCGTTGTCGTTTTTCTTTCATTTATTATTTTTGTTGCAAGACTGTGCCTTTTCTCTGAACACTAACTGCAATTAAATTCAAAAATGAAGAAAGTTTTATTCTAACATGGGTCTGAAATAAATCAGAGCAGGGAATATTTGTTCTGAATCATCAATTCGAGGCTCTTCATGAGTTAGGTTCAATGATGTACCAGATGAAAAAAAATTAGACACTAGCAATTACGCATTTACCTAGTATAATATAATAGCAGTGATAAAAATAAAGGAGTGTGTTGATATCATCAAACAGGAAACAAAAATAACAAAAATAAATAGATATTAGGTAAATTTTCAACTAAGTGCTATTAGAGAAATTCAAACACAAGCTGAAGTCAACAGTCACTATGACCAGAAATACCTCGGTGATGGTTGTGTGCATTGTTGCAATGCGGTATCACCGTAACACATTCGGTTGGCTATATTTTTTTGTTCCCTGTTCCACATCTGCTTGACGAGCAGCGCAAGATGATAGTGACAACATGATAGTGAACGACAACATCATTATGGAATTGTAGAAATTCAAATGTCAAACAGGAATGAATCCCGCTGCGTTATTTACCATCGTTCTTGCGATATTGAGAGGTGGAGTTTACAAGCACTTTGCTTGCTACAAACCTTTGGCATCATGTAGCCATAATTCTAATGTTTCAGCTATTAACACTTCAGTGATCGTCTGTGACTTTGCTTTGAGGTGAATTTTCATTACGCTTAGGAATGTGAAATAGGAATGGGCAGATTTTTGTAGCAGGTGACAGACCCCATTGCATTCAAATCAACAGCTAGCCAGGGATAGAAAAGACTGCAATGGCATGACGTCAGAAATCACTGTCATCTTCCTGTGTGTTTGGTCTATTTTTTCTTGCTAATCTTTCTTCATAGTCTGGATACGCTTTTAAAACAGGGTTGTGTGGTTTGGCATAATTTCCAAAATAAAAATCACAATTCAGAAGTGGGCAGTCATCATATTCTACAAAGTAGTCATAATAGAGAACCCCCCTTTGTGGACTCCAATGTGGACCGCCATCAAATCCACATTCTTCTAAAGACATGCGTGGATGCAGGCACTCTTCTTGAGTACATTCTTTTCCAGCATAAATTCGCAGTTGTCCACTGGTAATTTCAGTACAATCACTAATTTTATTAATCAAGCCTCGAACAGTTAGATGATTTTGAACTGTTAATTGAAAATGTCCAGGATGTTTGGATACCGCAACAAAATCCTTCAGCTTCATGTCAAGACGAATGTATCTGAAATTTAGAAAATGCATGTCTGTGTTGCAGCACGAATTTGTAATGTCAGTCGAATAGCAAGAAGCTCACACAGCGCATATAGTTTACCCTGATTAAGTTGACAGATTACAATACTCTGTTGAAGGAAAATTAATTCGTTGCAGGATAATTAATTAAAATGAAGATCCTTTAATAAGAGTGATAATTGAAAATATTCACGATCTTCTTGTCCCATGGTTTCTTTCGCAGTTTTATAAAAACTGTTGTAAACTTCTGCTTAAGAAAATTACATAGATACCTTGGGTATTTGATGTTGAATGGATCACCAAAAGTTTGTATTGAAATTTTTTCTTTTGAAGACATGACTTTAGGTTGATAGTCTTCAGGCAGTAAATCATGATCTTCTTCTGAATCGGAGGCAGCGAGTGGTTGCCTCATACCAGCTGAAATATCAGAAAAATGATTGAAAGAATTGGAAATTATCAGCAACTAGAAATACTCAAGGCTAAACTTTCTTAAGTGAACGTGGACTCAAACTTTGTTGTAAGTTTTTTTGTCAGCTATCTTGAACCTTTGACATTTGTTCGTGTTTCGTCCTGTTTTGAAGGAGGATTCAAATTACATTATCCAAATATTTTAGAATTTTTTTCTGAAATTCCCACGGTGTTATTTTCATTTATACTATATATTTTAATAACTTCATGTAAATCAAAGCATCACCAGAATAGTTATTGTTGATCACAGTAATATACAATGAGCAATACATATGTTTCGACTGAATTAGAAAAATCCTTACCTTTGAAATTAGTATAATCAATTCCACCAGTATTTTCTGGATCAAGAAGTTTTGACAAAGCATACAATTCAATGTCAGTAACTGGGCAGCCAAGATCTCGTAGACCTTAAAAATGGTAGAAATTAATTAATATTTTTAACATTATATTGTGAGTTGTGACACACTACAAGAAAACACATTTCTGGGTTGAAAAGCATCACCTACGGCAGGAGACTTTTAGTGTTATGTAGTCTGTGAAGAGGTTGACTATTATTTACGGATCCTCACAATAAATATATAAAAATAAAAATTATCTATTGAAACTACCGTTGTCAAATTTTATTGCTCCGGTATTGCTTCTTTGGTCAGTAACAAAATTAGCCAAGTTATCAAACGCATAGCTAGGGAAGCTCCCAGTTTTCGCTCGCAGAGCCCTGGGGTCCGTCCGTAAGGAGCACTTTGTGAACCAATGACATATGGTTGCGCTGTGAATTGTGAAGATTTCTAGCTGTTATTGGTATAGTTAGTGAATTCGTTTTTCTTATAATTTTCAAACTGATGAACAATATAGAACAAAACTTTGACATGGATATTAATTCTCAAAACAGTACCTATAAAGGAGCCCAATGACGAGTGCAGTCTTCCTTAATGATATGCATATCAACTTTCATATCAACATTCAAAAAGCAGGTATGAACAAGAGCATGAGGTAAATATCATTTTCTCACCTGATTTAAAAATTTGGAATGGAACACAGCCTTCTTCCTCAGGATCCAGATGCTTGAATGTTGATATTACAGATTTTGCATGATCTTGCATCCATTTATGCATTTTATGCCAAAAAATTGTATAAGTTTTTTCATCTTCTTGAAAACTTTGCAATTGCTTTGCAAGTTTTGCCTTAATATATAGAGATATAAATATTATCAGAAACTGGTTGAATATCAATTTATTGTGGAGAACCATCCATACACAAACTAAAAGATTTTTTCACATCATCCAGTGTTGATCAAAATGGTCGTTAAGATTAGGATGAAAAACTGAACAATCATTGAAGAAGAAAGGACTTAATTTGTCAAGAAGATTCCATCTGATTCATTCTTATTACAAAGAAAACTCACAGCTAGTTTCTCTTCCTTCGTTAATTTCTTCTTTTTTGGCTTTTTCTTTTTTCCAATTCCTAATTGAGCACCTTCACCTTCTATATTCAACTCATCTGCACTCCCAGCAGCAGCGTCTGTTACTGCTGTTTCAACAGCAGCCCTGAAGAAACAAAACAATATGATGTGCAGAATGGAGATGAAATAACTGTTCAAAGTATTTGAAATTCCTTATCTTAGCGAAAGATATGTCTAAATTTGAATCGTTTTGAGAAAGAAAATTATCTATCTTTGAAATGTGTTTATGTGGTAAAACAAATGCAAATTTTATTATTGTCTGCATATAGACACACTGTATAGAATTTTCAATTATTCAGTACAAATAAAAACTTGTGATATGTGTTGGCTTTCAATAGCATACTTAACCAAATGCTATATTTATGTAAGCATCAAACAAAAGTTCAGATAAAGATTTACTCACTTTTTCTTTTTCTTCTTTTTACCCTTCTTCACCATGACTAATGAGGTTTTCTATTAGGGTATCATGACGATAAAACTAAAAATATAATAATATACATGAGCATCCAAAGTAAGGTTTTGTTTTGAATACAACTTCAAATATTGAAAAAATATAAAACACTGGCAGCACACTCCAAATTCATATCATATATTTATTATCCATTACAAAGCGTTAATTTGTACAAAACCTCCTGTTTAAAAAAATATTATAGTATCAGTAGTATGCTTTGAGAATTAAGATGGACCAGTTTTATCAAAAAATTTATTTCGTCCCAACCAGATCATGATTTGTGTCAATTTTTAAAATTAAATTAAAATCAGGTGTCAAAATTTCATCAAACGAAACCAAAAATGAGGTTTGCTTGAATTCCTGATAACAGTCAAAACCCTATTCGTAATTTCAATGTTTATTTTGGCTAAATTCAAACATTTAAAATAGATTGGCTTATGAAATACTTGAATATTCTTATTCTTACAATAGTAATTCACCCTGGCTTTCGTCCAAATGAAAAAATTTTCTTGGATATTATTTGTTTCGAGCACATTAAAAGAAAGCATGACATTTTTACTATCACAGAGCTCAAAGTGAGAATAAAAGCAACTACTCCTTGTATATAAATATATATAAACATGAGAGAATTACATCGCAAACTATTCATGTACTATGTGTATGGACAAAACCATATAGAATTGTATTATTATCATTGTAAATATTCATGATACTTTGAAAGAACGCCCCGATGTTGGGCAAAATATATACTATTTTCAACAAAGGAAATAGGTAAATGTATAAACACCAATAAATTGAAAACAATGAATTATTTATAACCAAGAAAATTAATACAAAGTGGAGAGAGAATTCCTCTGGTAGGTAAACAGTCAAACAATAATCGAGAACAATGCTAAAATTGGCACAAAGCGTTGCAAAACCAACTGTCATTAAGTTTTCATTCAAGAGTATTATATTGGCAGCAACATTGAAATTAGCAATCCTCCAAATGTAGTACATTTGAACTGAAAATAATTCTTTTACAGTTATCATATTCACATAAATACCACAATTAATTAACATCAGAATATTGACTTGAATAATAGGCAAGCGGCTAGTGAAGATTTCACAGGATTTGTTGGTGTTCAAGGTCGATAAAAAATCAAGGCAGACATATCAAGTATGAAAAATTTTCAATTCAACAATTATCGTTGCTTTAAATAGTAAATTTCCTAGAATAACTTGAAGCAATGGCATGAGCTTGCATGAGTAATAACCACATTCAGTAAAAATGGAAAACTTTGCTAACCAAGAATTTTAAAAATTATTTGTTTGTTGTGAAACATCCAAATCGATATGAAAATAGAAACGAAGCATGTAATATTAAATACACCATTAGTTAAATTTTGTTGAAAATTATTTAAACATAATGAAACACATTTAAAAATTAGGCAGTCTCTACCAAAGCAGGTTTAGTTTGATCTACGACGATCTGAACATCGTCATGTAAACTATCTTGTTTGTTGACATGCTTCTTTGTTTGTTTTTCAGCAAATGATTTTGACAACTTTGCGATTTCATCTTGTTGCATAGTCAATTCCACACTGGCATCATTGAAAGCTGGACCCATTAGATGTGATAGTCCATATTTGAGTTGATGTCGGGGCCAAATAGGTTGCCGTTTGTGTGGGTCATCTGCGGCAAGGAATCTTTGTCTGTACTCACTTCTTTTGTCTTCTAAAACTATAGGCTCTGGAGATAAAGGCTTGATTTGTCTTCTTGCAGCGACAGGAGGCAGCATTTGTTCATAGAGATTTTCTTTTTCTTTTTCTGACAGTGGATCAATCCTCCGTTTCCATAAGTATTCTTCGTCTTTCAAGAACATTGAGAAGTCACTGCCTTTTTGTGTTATATACTTCTCATGTTCAGGACTTCTAATTGGAATTACGTTTTTATCCATTTTCCAACTCAGTTCATCATAAGGACCAGGTTGATATCCAGCCACTCTTGATTTTGGCCTTGAACTCGGGAAAGGAGCCCCTCTTTGCTTTTTGTCTTTGGTTTTCATTTCAACACCACCACCTGACACCACAGAGAGTGGAGGAATTCTTGTTGGAAAATACTTTAACGACTTTTTATTGGGTTCATCTTTCAGTATATTTTGTAATTTATCAATTTGATTTGATTTATTAGTTTGTTCTGTTCCACATGCAACACGATGAAACTTCATTCTTGAGCTATCGACAATTATTTTTGACTTCCACTCTCTTTCTTTTTTGATACGAGCTTGCTCAATTTCTTCCAATCTCTTATCCCCAGGTAAATGAACAGTGCTTGCTTTTTCCTCATAATTCATTCTGGGCTGATTGTATAATTTCATATCTTGGTGTCGAAGATCCCATTTCCAGATTGCTCGATCCAGAGTGGGTTTCAAAATATGCCCATGTAACGTATTTTCCTTCCACTTTAACTTTAATTCATCAATTCTTGACTCATCAGGACATAATGGATGTTGATTGCATAATAAACTACTTTTAACACCAGGAAATAAAAACCCAGAATCTGTTCTCCATTGCTGTTTTAACATTTTTTCCTCTTCTGAATACAGCATATCTTCATCCACTGGAGGGATCACTGCAGTATTGTACAATTCATTATATGCATACCTACTATCTTTGTCTTGTTCATATAACATTCTCCTCAAAGCAGTTTTAGATAACTCGGTGAAGTTAAGTGTCTGAGTGCTGTAATTATGTGGTGGACCATCAATATCAGCATAAACCATTGGACGACCAGCAGGCCGCTTTCTGCGACCTGCTTCTTGAACTGAAACTATATTACTCATTACATAATTAGGTTGTAGATCGGGATTTTTCTTTCTTTCTGCAATCGTTTTGTCGAAGTCCTCAGCTTTGTTATCAATAGGTGTCCACCGAGATGAACTTTCTTTAAGAATCACTCCATCTAACGACTTCTTTTCCTCATCTTCTTTGAGATGTTGCTCCTCGTAATCGCTGTGAGTGATTGGGATTCCGAATTCTCGACTCATTGAAATAACCATTGTGTGATCAGGAAATAAAAAATTTCTACAAACATCTTTCAATCTACTAACTTCTGTTATCTCCTTAATCATGATTAGACATCGAAAGCAAGGTCTTGGGACCAGATCTCTAACATACAGCAATGGTTGTTCCAAAATTACTTTCAATGGCTGATGAAGTCGAATTGTGCACAAGTTAACATCAAGTTCGCTATAAATTCGTGACTTGAAAGTTATTGAAGAGTCACATAACATCCGCACAAAGCCATCATTTTCTGACTGAACATGACCAATTTCATTTTGTAGTCTTAGAATTGATCCATCTCTCAATCCTTCCAAAACGAAAATATGGAATTCACCATCTAATACATGGAAACCTGTTACAACGTCCAGTGTGGTGCATTCTTTTTGTGCTGCTGACAATTTGTATGTTGACAATGCTGCATCAATAACATGCTGATCAAATGAATCAAGTCCAAGCGCCCTTGCATTTGCATTCATCACAAATTTCTCAAGAGTTTTCAGCAATGATTTATTTTCATAGTCAAAATGGTAGATAATACGACCAAAGTGACAAGATTCATTGTTCAGAAGCAAATCTGTGTCAGGGGAAGGATGCCAGGTGAGCGGATATTTCAAACATACTTTTGCTTTCAAAACAGTGCCAGCACTAAGATAATCACCACACAACAAAGGCGGATTTTCTGGACGGTCGACTGATCCAATGACTCCCACCAATTTCGTTCCTGGATCGAAACTATTAGGATTGTTCAAAAGATTGGGTAAGGAACAAGGATTCACAACTATGCTATAATTCAGATTAAGATTTCCATCAAGTAGTTCATGAAGTTGAAGTTTAGTTACTCCATATGGATCGTAGATGCAATGTCGATCATGAAATGCATTATGAGTTGTACTTTTCGAAGTCACCAGACCAACATTAGCAATCTTTTTATCAGCACTGTCATCCCCAAATATTAATGGGGGTTTGACAACATCTGGGAGCTTTCTATCTCTGTCATGAATCTCTATGCTTAAGCCATCACAATGCAAAAATTCATAGAGTTTTCCAGGATCTAGTTTTCCTGCCAATATAACATGCATGTCTTCAAAGTAGACATCCTTGTTATGATGTCTTTTCCTTGTTTTATGTATAGGGAGATCAAGAAACTCATATGAACAATACACATCTTGACACAAATTTGATAATGTTATCCTTGGTATTGGAGTTTCTGGCAAATCTTTCACAGATCTAACAGTGATTACGAGTGGATTCAGCTTTCGTTCTAGGTCTACTGGCATCAGTTTTCCACCAACAGATACTGATACAAACATATCTTCTACATTGACACTAGGTTCTTCCAAGCGAGAAGTGACTTCTTTCATGCCTGAAAATAAAAGCTCCATTTTAATGGGAATACAGATGTTTCTCGATCGAGTAATATCTACTGATTGTCTTTTTTCGTCTTTTGCTTGTCCACTGTCAGTTGGCTTCACATCGTCTCCGTGTTTTGATGATTTTCTATTCAACTGTTTCATTAATTTTGTTTGTTGTTGAACCAGTTCATTCATTCGCCTCTTGTCTTGATCTGTTACATCCAATCCTGCTAATCGACCAACAGAACTGTGAACTCGAGCCACTGGAAGTTGTTGATTGGTTGTTGGTTCATCAACTTCAGGTTTATCATCTATAATATTTGCATCTTCTTCTGCTTGCTTTTGAACATCTTGTGGCTGCAAGTTGGTCCAACTTCGAGATTGCTTTGCAACTACTGCGGCAATTCCTTTTCCTGGTGCACTGTCTTTGGATGATGGTATACGAAATGCCTTTGGTCTATCAAAACGTGCTTTGGCAGAAACTTTGTCTTTTGAGTCACAAAGCTTGAACTCCAATGTGTGATTGAAAAGATCCATAATGTTTTCTTCTGATATGTATAACTCATGGCTATGAACCCATGCAACCCATGTTCTGGAACCATCATCCCACGTTTTGATAACTTTCGAATCAGTTTCAGTAAAAACTTTGGCAGCCACACCATATGTAACAATGTCAGCCACTGTCCTTTCATGGCCAGGCGCTATTCCGTACTCACAGTGAAAAAATTGTTGAGGTTTAGGGGCATCTAATGTTTTCTTGTTACGTCTTGCCAATTCTTCCAATAACTTTCCTTGCTCGTCAGACCCTTTTGAACAAGCAATGGCTGCAGTTAATGTCAATACCACTCTATGCTCGTTTCCATTCGGTTTCTTTGGTGTCGAGGGTACAACACCATGGTGTTGCGACTCCACATTTGTCGGCGAGGACGTTGCTAATTTATCGGTCATTTTCAAATAATTGCTTCAGTATGTTGTGAAGTTTTCACATCTGAAATACATCATCATTCTTTTTGTTTGGTATGTATTTATCATTCAGTAATTTAGCATCATAATGAAGCATTCAACAGTGTGGTGTGGCCTATTCTTTATCTTAAAAAAGATGTATTGAATATTCATTACTAAGCATTTAACGTTATGCTATTATAATAATAAATAATATGAGAAATTGTAAAAAAAAAATCATTGCATAGTATTGTGACAAACTGCTGAACTAAGAGTTTTTCTCATTAAATATTCAATTGTATTATATCAACGGTTTCCAATTTATTAGGCTATGTGTATACAGAATATGGGAGTTTAATGTATTTTTGAGGTGCTAAGTTAAAACTCATAAACCTACAACCTATGGTAGGTTATGCCCTCCCTCTAGCAGTCTGAGTTACTCTGATTTTTTTTCCCTCTTTGTAAATTTTTGTTTCATGCTAAATAAATCACCTGACCTGACAGGTTGATCACGCTGATAGACACTGTCTGCGACTGTGGCGCTAACGAAGACTGGAAGACAGTACCGGTACCGGTGACGCAGACTGCATCGGCACTTTAGGGCTAAGTTTTAGATATTGCGGTGTTAACGTAGGTTGCACATTCAATACAAAGACACTGTGAAGTCACCGTAGATATTTGAGACAAAATATACTTCGACGTTACAGAAGGCTACGGTGCGGTACGGTACTTCTGCACATTTGAGATCAAAGTGACTATGTTTGAGATTAGACCTAGCGGCTTTCGTTGCTAATGGAAACTTATACATATATACATGACGCCTCATGCGGTCACATAGGATGGTTTGGATTTACATCAAGGCTGTCCAACACGCGGCCCGATTGGCTGTTTACTGTGGCATAGACGTACCCCAGGCCTGCCCAACCTTTTTCGTTTTGTGGGCCACATTTTCGTAACGAAATTTGTTGCGGCCCGCAAATGTTTGTACCAAACTTTGATACCTGCTAAGTCCTGATTTAAGTATAATTTACATAATACATAGTAGGCAAGTTTACTAACATGAAATCAATCAAGTTGAATAATAATCATTTATTGGCTACTGAGTAGGGCTGGCAAAATATTTGAATATCAAGTCGAATATTAGAATAGCAGTTTACTATTCGAATATCTGGTAACACGGGGCGTGGACTTGATACTCGCGGGCCGTCGAATCGAAGAATCAATCGTGACACAACTAAGTTGTGGATTTCGGACGGCCATAAGAGAATCTACACACAGTTTTTACTAACAAACAAGGCGTCAAACGGAGTGTTATATTGGCGTTATAGTGTTTTTATTCATTCATTTCCAGTGGCTGGCTCAACGTTTAAATGAGCATTATGTGCACATGTGTCGCGGGAATATCGAGTTTTAGTGGGCCGTTTAGTAAAATTTGAAACTTCAATACAAGTATTTGATTAAAGTAACATTGCAAAAATTTCTGGACGGATATTTAAACTAATTTGAATATGTAGCAATGCCATTAAGTTAATTTTATATCATAATTATTAGCGGATACGAAGTGACGACATTTCCGAAATTCTATTTAACGCAAAAATAACATAAACAAAAGTACAAACATAAAAGGAGAACGAGTCTCGGAGCCAGTACCAAAGATATTGTCGACTTTTTATTTTACGTTGTCGATAAAAATGATCAGAGCCCACAAGAAAGAAAGTAATCAAAATGAAATTAATTTATAATTTTAGACTATAAATTAATTCCCATAATTGCGCCCAGAGTTCTTCTCCAATTATCGCACAATATCTTTCAGAAAACACAGTTCTGCGAGAAATAAAAAAAAATAGAATTGCCCACCAGGGCGCAAGACTTGACACATACGTAATAATAAGAACCGGCATTTGGATGTAGATAAATAGCAGGAATAATCATATCAAAATCACGAAACATACTTATGCATATATAACATATTAAAAAGTTTGTTTTCAAACTTTATAGGGCGGGCCGCAAAAAACAGTCTGACGGGCTGCATGCGGCCCGCGGGCCGCGGGTTGGGCAGCCTTGACGTAGCCTGTTGACTGAGGGACAATGACCCTCCCTCCAAAAAAAATAAATAATTAATAAATAAAAACATTTTTATTAAGGCAAAAGACATAGTTTCACACGCCCTTTCCAAACACATTTTGCTCTATTCTTGTAAGAACGAGTTAAAATAGGACGTGCCCTGGCTTGCCATCAATAATGCTTCCACCAAATGAACTTAAATTGAAAATTTGGGTTGCAAATCCATTTTTATAATTTTCTTCAGCGTTCTGCTCACGAAATTATAAACGTATTGTGTGATCATTGGCGACGAGACGATCAAGAAAATTATAAAAATGGATTTGCAACTCAAATTTTCAAATTAATCCATTCTGATTATTATCTTTCATGTAGATTTTGATCGTAGTTATCCCCGCTGTAAAATAAAGGGTAGGCCTAATATCTATGCTACTGACTCCGGGATTCGTTGTCTTTTTTGTATTTTCTATCATGCAATAACATATCCTATGTTATTTTTACGTTAAATAAAACTTCTTATATGTCGTCACACCGTATCCGTTAAAATTCTGCTGTTATTGACCTAATGATATTTCTATGTATTCAAATTAATATATTCATTCAGAAATCTTTAAAACATCACTTTATTTGTTACTGGTATTGATGTTTCGAAATTTACCACGCGGCCAGTCAAAAGTTGTTAAACTCATGCGACATTGGCGCGCGTTATGCTGATTTAAAAACTGAAACAATATCATTGCCACTGGACTGACAACGTGGAATGGTAACCGGGTGAGAGGCTGTGGTTCGCCATATGATTAAGCCGTCTTATCAGCTTTCCTAAATATATTTCCTCTACCTTTGCCGTAGTAAAATTTTTCATGTAGCCTATTTTGCCTATGCTCATTTTGCAAATGTTTTTGCCAGTTGGCGCTTTCAAAATGCTTTGCATGTTCAGAATAAAATATCTTGCATGTTTAGAATTTCCGGTACCATTTTTAGTAAATATAACCAACCCCTTCCACTTTCCATTAAAAAGTACCGGAATTTAGCATAGTCTTTCCCAGTTTTTCGACGCCGTGTGTAGTTAGGCCATGAGACGAGACCCTGAAAAACGCTCAGAGTAAGTTTTGTAGCGTACATCTGGTAACAAAATAACTAGTTTTGTATGGAAATGAGCATACTGAACGCATTACAGCTTGTTCGCACTAACGAAATTTGCACATTTTCTATGAAACGTGCTTTAAAAAACCTGATGCAAAAACGAATACAGTATATGGAGATTCCTCGAAAATCAATAACCATAGGTTTACAACAACAGAGCATGAAAGGTTGCATTCATTTCATAGAAGACACCAAACCCAAAAATATAATTCGAATAGGTACTATGTTTCGAACGGAACAACATGAGTGTTTTTCGACAAATAAAAATACTACTAAATACTGACCAATACTTCTAATACATGATGCGTTTTATATGATGTAATACTGCAGTGCTAGGCCTGCAGTGTTTGCATACTAGACTACATCTACACTGAATCTCGATAAATCACACGATCTGAAATGCCCTATATATCTTAAAACATCAACTGTCGACCTACAACTTGACTTCTCACCCCTCAATCGCTTCCAGTGCTACATTTCTTTTACCTCCTGCATAACTTATCATTGCTGGCCAGGATCTTGTCAACTCTATGAATTTAGACCAGGGGTCGGCAAACTTTTCTCGTTCGCGGGTCAAAATTAAAGGTTGCAAGTCATTGGCGCGTCGCACATATTTTGAGAAAGTCAAAAACTGAAGGAATAGCCAATGAATTCCTTTTTTTCACACATATTTAGGTTAAATTTCAAGCAGTGCGCGAAGACTGATCATTTGAATATTTTCTGCGTGATTAATGCACTCATCATCAACTTTTTCACGTTCTGTTGCTATTTGTCTAATTATAATCAATTGTAGGCTCATTAAACGATTGGTTGGGAATTATATACTTGTTAGGTTATAATATAATTTAGTGTCTCAAAACAAGTTCAATCACGTAAAGAATATAATCGTCAATATAGCTGTTTTGTTAATGTAATTCAGTGAAGTGTCGCGGGCCGAATTATATTGCTCCACGGGCCGGATCCGTTGTTTGCCGACCCTGATTTAGACCAACTGACATCAGTAAAATTGGTTACTTTCCCCTCTTTCTTACAAACGTGAATTACACAAGAGAGGGTGATTTATTGTCACAAAAACAAAGTCAACACTATTATAGACATAAAACAATAAATAAAATATTTCAGCAGTAATAACAGTGAAGTGTAATCTTGAGTGGAGTGGAAGTGGAGTCTTGTGTATTTCCTGCAATATAAGCTCATCATGGCATGGTATAGTACCGTATGTGAATGCAAATGAGGCTAAATATAATATATGAATAAGATAAATAAATGAGTAAACGAGCCGGCAATTTAAAGTTATTGATGGTAATTTAGGATTTTCAGAGGTAATGCATTGTTTGAAGCCACCGGACATGTCCAATGAAAGGATTAAAACAATTGAAGATTTAAAAAAAAACTTTTTCCTCATCTCGCGGCCTAAGTGTAAACTAAAACATTCGCGGAAATAATTTAACTGCGAATTTATTGAGCGCAAAAAATGTCTGAATAAATGTTTAAATTCGAATTGGTACGTCACCGTTAAGGCGTTAAGTTATGGACCTTTCCCCGACCTTTGACCCCCGAAAAATTCTTCCTATATGGACCTTTCCCCGAGCATCGACATGATGCAGCAAGTGACGTAACAATGCCCCCTTTTTGCATCCGCTCAGACACTTTTCTCACTCAGACAGATTTTCAAGTGTGGTTGTAAACATTACCTCGTTTTCGCGTTTTTGAACTCTATTCGTTAGTTTTCAGTTGTGTTTCGAAAACTTAAATAAAAATTAGATAATTCAATGATTACTCTGTCTTCCTAGGAATTTTAATTGAATTGCAGTAATAAAAATTAGTGTAGAAATAGCTGTGATAGACTAGCCTGAAATTCTTTACCGGTACTTTTAAAAAACAGATTGTTGTATGCGATGAATCATAATGATGGTTTGAAACACATACCCCATTTTACAGGCGCCAACTCGCAAAAGCACTCTTAAAATAGCCCCGAAAATTTTGCAATGGTAAAGTATTTTGTCCGGGGGTCAAAGGTCGGGGAAAGGTCCATACTTTACCATTGCAAAATTTTCGGGGCTTATTTTAAAAGTGGTTTTGCGAGTTGGCGCCTGTAAAATGAGGAATGTGTTTCAAACCATTATTATGATTCATCGCATACAACAATCTGTTTTATAAAAGTACCGGTAAGCACTTTTAGCCCAGTCTATCATAGCTATTTCTACGCTAATATTTTATCACTGCAATTAAATTAATACTCCTAGGAAGACAGAGTGATCATTGAATTATCTGATTTATGTTTAAATTTACGAAGCACAACTGAAAACTAACTGATAGAGTTCAAAAACGCGAAAACAAGGTAATGTTTACAACCACGTCTGAAAATCTGTCTGAGTGAGAAAAGTGTCTGAGCGGATGCGAAATGGGGACATTGTTACGTCACTTTTGCATCTTGCTGATTGGCCAATGTCACGAGGTAAACAAGGAAGTCGATGCTCTGGGAAAGGTTCATTGCTGATAAAATCTTCCATTCAACCGCTTGAAATAGCTATAAACATTGACTCATTTACCCGGAAACCTGGCATTCGCTGTAGCTAATTGGGCGACAATGAATAACGAATCTTTTTAGGTAAATGAATCGTCTTGTTATCATTTTTTGCAAGTTTTATAATTCTTAGTCGGTATAATGTAGTTTTGATGTAATGTAGTTTATAATGTACCGTATGTTAGTTTTAATCTTTAAAGCACACAGCGCTTGTATCGGGACTGGCAGACTGGGGCAAGTCCAGGTACTCGACTTTATAAAATTCATATGAATAAACACGGATTCGCATGCATACGAATTAGCAAAAACGTTTATGATGCTATGAAAAATTTTCTTCGTGTTTGGGTGAAACTGTAAAATTCAATCTTAGAGGATCATATTTTTTAATCGCCTCTCAAATTCAACCCCATTAATTAAAGTCATTGCCATTGCTGCATTGAGTTATTTCATGTTTCAGGTTTTATAAATTTATGAGGTCGTGAATTTAAATCAACGAACTTTTGTTCTCGAAAAAGCATTGTATAGAAAATAGATTCTATTCTAGACTACTTCTTGTGTAGGCCTACATCCATAACATTATACAGCCCTCCTCTGGTTATGCACTTGCAAAAGAGAACCAAACAAAAATGGATATCAACACATTTGCAATCTCATAATCTAGAATCATGAAATCCTCAATTATATCAAATGTTTATCCATATTATTACTATACTCGGCTCGGCGGTGTGGCGCATCGTGCTAAGCGTTAGGAATACGCTCGCCACCGCATCTTTAATTACGTTTCGTTGGATCGCAGGTTCGAATCCCATGCGGGGATGATCGACTCCTCGCCGCCATAGGGCGGTTCACGTAACTGCTGGTCGGTTACGGCTTCCTCTACCATCAAGTCTATGCTTCGGAAAACAAATAACTAACTGATTCCATACCCGACCTGAAATGGTAACCGGACGAGAGGCCGTGGTTCGCCATATGGGTAAGCCGTCTTATCGGTTTTCCTCTCCCCTGGGATAAATATGTAAATCTTATCATTTTTTATCTTTTATCCTATCCTATATTATAACTGTATGAATTGTTTTCAACTCAATGTTATGTTAATTTAGAAGTTTAATGAAAAATTGGCTTTCATGACTGCATGACTGTTAAAGAAAGATGAAATTTGGATATTTTGTTGCATGTAGTGTGTTAGTTCACGTTGTACTATTTGCTTCCATTTTTGATATATATTTTACGTCACCTCTGGTTCGAGGAACTAGTTCATTTCATGTGGATCAACATATCAATGCATCCGCTCGTCGTTTGGTTTTATTTGTGGCAGATGGACTTCGAGCAGAAACATTTTACAATAAATCAATGCATGACCGTTCTCCATTTTTAAGGTAACTTTGTTTGGTATTAACTTATTTGTCATAGTGATGTAGTAAGAAGTAACATTGTAACCTCAAGTTGCTGAAATTATTGAAATGCCGTGGGCTACTGTCAAATCAAGCTTGGACCTGTGGGAGGGGGTAGGAGTTACAATAGAAAAAAATGAGTAGTTTCAATAACATTTTGATAGATACGTTTTTCTCAAATGATTGAACACCATTTTTCTTATACTCTTTACATATGTCTGCATGTAGTTTGCATTGTCCAACGTAAAATATATGAATTTGTAAACTTGATTCACTGGTACCAAGATCACAGTGGTCTGATGTATCAGTGATCGTTGTATGGGAGTTTTAGAAATGATCCACATATTTTCAGTGACATCATGAAATACTATGGAACTTGGGGAGTTTCACACACTCATATTCCTACTGAATCAAGACCTGGCCATGTTGCACTAATTGCTGGATTCTAATGAAGATGTCAGTGCAATCATGAGAGGTTGGAAAGAAAATCCTGTTGAGTTTGACAGTGTTTTCAATCAAAGCAGGAAACATGGTCATGGGAAGTCCGGACATTTTGCCAATGTTCGCCAAGGGTATAAAATATTGATGACTTTTTAATGCTTAGACACATTGAACATTTTTGGAAATAAAACTTTCTAAAGCATGGTCAATACAAAGTAGAAAATGAAAATAAATGAAGCCTTAAAAGATGTTTGGCATGGCATTGTTTATAACTTCAATCTATATGCAGGTTCATCAGGAGATCATGTTCATATACATTGTTACCATGGCGACACTGAAACTTTTGCTGGGTGACGATTCCTCAAAGCTTGATACCTGGGTGTTTGATAGATTCCAAGAATTTTTCAAAAATGCATCGAATCACCCAACTCTGCATGACAGACTTCACCAAGATAAAATTGTATTCTTTCTTCATCTACTTGGCATTGACAGCAATGGTCATAGTCATAAACCAAATTCAAAGTAAGAAACTATTTGCTTTATATGAGGCATATACACATTCACAAAGAAATTGCCCAGCTTGCAAAAGTATGACATGGACTGTGCATTAGATTTATCCATAATAAAAACATTATGTTAGTGAGTGATGTGAGAAAGTTGGAAGTAATCGTCTTTGTAAGGTACTCTTTGTAATTTTTTGATTTAGTGCATTTAGTCCAAGCAAACCCATTCGTCCAAATGTGACATTTTTGTATATTTTATATGTTTTAAGATTTATATTTTTCAGAGAATATTTGGACAATATAAAGATCGTTGACGAAGGAATATCTAATGTGACAAAATTGCTAGATGAGTTCTACAAATATGATGGAAAGACCTCTTACATATTTACTGCAGATCATGGAATGACAGACTGGGGTAAGCAAAAGTTTATTGGTTCTGACCCGGTATGCATATTTCCTTGTTGACAGAATGGCATTACCAAAATTTCAATAGTCGATATGCTACTTATAAAAACTGACATACTTGTATATTGTGATTAAAAAAAATATTGAAAACAATGTATTTGCAATTGATTCTTCCCATTTTGCACGAACGGTTTTAGAAAGCAAAATTAAATCAAATATATTTTTATATAAACCGTGAATACCAACCTCGTATCGTATTATACAAAAGTAGAATATTTTGAATCTCATCTTGTGATACCAACATGCTATATGCATAATGCTGTTTTGATTTTCATCAACTTTTGCTCTTCATATTTCTAAAAATATAGATGGTCTCCAGTATCATAATTCCTATATAATCCTAATTTAAGGATCACATGGTGCAGGACTTCCATCTGAAGACCTAACACCTTTGGTAGCATGGGGAGCAGGAATCAGTTCACCGAGTGCATTGGAAAGAAAAAGTGAATTGTTGAATGAAGATATTGACATGACAAAGTGGGTTTTTTGTAAAAATTGTATAGGCCTACTGTAATTGGGCAAGTACATTTTTTTATAGCTGGTAGTAACTGGTACAACTTAGTTATTAGTCAGAGTATACCATACGATCGAAGTATATACCAGTCAAATAGTCAATAGGAGAATATGATTTACATATTTATCCAATAGTAGGATGTTATTGTGTTGCTTCAAAGGATGTGCCAGAAAAGCAACACCTATTGATCCCTACTGTAGGAAAAAAGTAACTTGTAATATAGGAAGATTCATACTTGTAGTGTTTTTTATTCAGGAATTACTCAAACATATTTATTTTAATATTTTCAGATCATGGGGCCTGAACTATTTGGACCGGCATGATGTAGAACAAGCAGATGTTTCAGCCTTAATGTCTGCTGTTCTTGGTATTTCTTTTCCTGTTAATTCAGTAGGTTCTCTGCCCCTGCCCTATCTTTCGGGAAGCGCAAAACATAAAACTCAATTGGCAAGAATGAATGCGAAACAAATTGCTGAACAATTTGCTGTCAAGTTAAGATACATTGAAGAGCATTCAATAAAAACATTTTTTCGTCCATTCCCAAGATTGTCTGTTAGTGATGTTGCTCAAGCAGATATTGAAATTTCATCCCTGATAGGAAAAGAGGAATATACACATGCAATTAAAAAAAGCAAAGAGTTGATAGATTCATCATTAGAAGGCTTGCGATATTATCACACATATGACAGAACGTTGCTATATTTCTCAGTTATGTCAAGTTTTGTGGGATGGATTTGTATCACTGTACTATTAGGTATTAAGCAAATCTCTGTTATGGAAAGTCAAGCTATGAAGCTGAAACCTATTCACTTACCAACTATGATTGGATATGACAGAATAAATGTCATTTTCGCTGCTATCTTCGCATTTGCAACAATCATGCTTCTGGTTACAATTTCACCTTGGACCTATTATGTGTACTGTTTGTTACCAGTTCCTATATGGTACTGGATTGCATCAGAAAGATTTCTAATCAGAGCTACATTCAATGCTTTAGTAAGAAACAGAGAGCTAACTAAGGGTATATTTGTCTATGGCATATGTGGAATTATTGGCATCTGGATATTGATTGCCAGTTTCTTTCATCGCAATTTTCTATCACCAGGACTTTTGGCGTTATCCACATTGCCTAAACTTTGTAGCGGGAGAAGCGACTTCTCTATATTAGACAAATTGTGGGTTTTAGCTTGTTTCTGCATTGCAATATTTCCAAATTTGCCAACTATTGGCAGAAGTCCAAATATGAATCTTGTAATGTGCGGGGGAATTGCTGCATCAATATTATGCATCCTAATATCTATGCAAGGAAAAGTTATAACTTTATCAAAAAGTTTATTATATGCACTTCCCATTTTAACTTCAATCATAGTGTTATTAACATCTGATCAATCTACCAGTGACGGCACTGTGTCCATTATATCCATGTTTTAAGTTGGGTGATATTGATTCTCAGTTGGGTTGCTCCAACGTTCAGCTCTACAAATATGCAAGAACGACTTTTAAGTTTATATGTTTGGCAAATGTCTGCTTACATGTTGCTGAGTTTGTCATATGATGCTTTATTTTGCGTAATCTTATGTGGATTGCTACATATTTGGATTCACTTAGAACACAGTATTACATCAACTGAAGAGAAAAATCAAGTCAGACAAATTAAATTTGAAGATTTGGATTTTCGTCTGTCTCACATAACATTAGGTTAGATATCTTTTTCATGTTATTGGTTATGTTATTTTTACTTATCGATCTTAAGATCAGCAAGTATCTTGATTTTGTCTGTCTGTCTGTTAGATGCATGCGATATCTCACGAAAGCAAGGTTGAATCTGCTCCAAATTTTGCATGGGCATTCATCATAGTTCGGACCAGGAGCCTATTGATTTTGGATGAATTATGTCGTATGATTAGCGAGGTATTAATTAATTAGTGATGGGACATGCGGTGTCACTATAGAGCCAGAGTGAATGAATGGGGGATCCCCTAACTTTCGATTGATATCCTCGTATATCCGACCGATATTCTCGTTTATTATTTCATTCGTGCAACACGTCATTGTGTTACAATTCCCTCTTGTATTTGACAAGTGTGACATCAACTCCTACTGTCAGTGATACTTTTTTGATCACTTGGTGGTCAAGATTAGAAGTTTCTGTTCTCTAAATTATGGCAAATGTTGGTAATATATATGTTTTTAGGCCATTAAATTTAAGGTTTCAAAATAGCTCAAAGCTTCAGTAACGTGTCTTGTATGATTGGCTATTATTATCCTATATATAACAGGGGATGAGAGTGTTCTTCGTCAACCGAAGCTTTCTGATGTTCGCAGAAGTTTCATGTTGGTGTTTTTCCTGGTTGTTGCATTTTTTGGAGTTGGAAATATAGCAAGCATTAACAGTTTTGATGTCCAAGTTGTTCTACCATTTATAACAATTTTTGATCCCTTCGTAATGGGAGGCTTACTTGCTTATAAGGTAAGTACATTTTTAAAATACTTCAAACTCGAAATTTTTTGTAAAGTAAATAGTGACCCCCAAATAATGGACCCATAAATTTCTTAATTACTTCCATGGAAATATGAAAAATTTAGTTAATTTTACTTGGTAATGGACCCTGTTTGTGTATGATTATATCCTAAAATTTCAGAACTCTAGGACGCATTGTATAAAAGTTATGTTCTCTTCAGAATATGTTCCAAATTTTCTTCATGGCATTAAAGAGAGACTTCATTTGTTGCACAAAATTGTCAATCACTCACTTAGTTTTTTGTTGTAGCACTCTGGTGTCAGGAGATGTCACCCCTAAGAGAAGTGTGTGTGAGTGATTTGGAACAGAAGTTCCAATGTAGACAAAATTTTATGATTTCATAAATACTTCATTTCCATAGAAGTAATTGGGAAATTTAATATGGTTTCCGTTTTTTGGGTCACTTTGTATATGACTACCTGAATATAATCGTGATTGAAAGTTTCTGTGTTTTCCAGGTACTTATGCCATATCTATTGGTCGCTTGTTCATTTTGTGGAATTGCATTATCTACTCGGATGCCTCTTCGTACTCTATGCTGTATTGTTATGGTTATATCTGATGTGATGGCGATGCATTTCGTCTTTATGGTATGTTATGTTCTTCTTACAAAAATTTTTAATTACTAGATGTCTAGATGTGCAAATGCTCAGCGATTTACCAGTTTCACAGCCATAAGTACATTTCAATAATTAGCTGGTTCCCTGCAGCTTCCCTTCCCAGTCAAATTATCTTCGTCACTTTTTCGCATATTTTTTGCGTTTGTATCTGCTTATTATATTAACTGGTTGGAAAAAATAAACTTGACTATTAGCATTAACATGAATGTGTTTTACCATCACATAAATCTCTGGATTTGACTTTCATAACTTTCTCTATAAAAGACTCAAAAGTTTTAACATTTTGTTTATTGATAAAGTTATTTTCAATATGTGACTCAAAATATATATTCCCTTATAAAGTAATCTTTTCAACTTTACGATCAAAGACCATGGATCTTGGCTTGATATCGGAACCAGCATCAGTCACTTTGTTATTGTAATGTCAATGATAACATCACTGCTGCTATTTTTTGTAGTTGCCAATTTCCTGACAACATTTAGTTTTTTTTAAAGTTAACAAGCTGTATTGAAACCTCAAGTACTGCACCACCGCTTCTCTTCATTTACACACACAATGATAGTTGCTTTATGTTTATTTATTATGCAAATGTTGTTAATTTTGAAGTAAATAGACACTTATACATACCTTACTCACAACAAAGGCCCACAAAACCTGAATGGTTTCAGAGTTTAGTAGGATGAATAAATTTTTTTTCTAGTAAGTCAGTCGGTACTGGTGATTTATTTTATCACATGACGAAAGTACACAATGGACAAACATAATTAAGATAAGATAAAAAAATACCTTTCAGTGTGAAGGGAGACGCGATAAACCAGTGGTGGATGGAAGGTTATAAAGGCGCGTGATAAACCAGTGGTGGATGGATGGTTATAAAAGGCGCGTCACCTATGGGGGAGTGAGTCTAACATTAAATCATTTTAAGAAAAAGTCAAACATGTAGTAATGTTCATACACTTTCAATTAAAATACAGGTCTTTCCTAGTGCAACAGTGATTTTTTATTTCACTATGCCAGTTATTCCACTTTTATTCTCTTCGAATTCAAAAACCTATTCTACCTCCGATTTTGAACCTTGAGAAAAAATCTGTCACTTTCTATGCTTCTTCCTCTCCGACAAAACCCATTCAAACTGGCGACACTAGAACCTCCTCCCCGCAAAGTGAATCTTCTTCCCTTTCAGATGACCGTGAAGACTCTTCACATCGGTCAAATCCGACATCTAATAAAAGAATTTCCGCCTAAACGCGTTTCCAGGCCCGTGCGCGCTATGTCAATAGGAACTCCGAGAAGCAGTCGTGGCCCCGGGTCCGACCTCGCCCATCCTTATAGTTGAGCCTGAGCCCGTAGTTACCCATATTCCGGACTTCCTGTGGTTGCAAAAATATATTAATGCAGCCACTCCTACTCCCACGCTAACCGTGACACATCAGAACTCAATTTCTGCGCCCGATGATCGCCAGAGTTCATCTCCCCAGGAGGTTGTAAGTTTCAAAACATGATCATGTTGTTGGAATAACTTGGTGTTTTACCACCCGTATATCATTCATTGTCGAGAATAATAATGAAATCATAAAATCCAAAACCCGTTTCGTGAATTTTTTGTTGTAGCTGAATTCGAGGGACAGCATGACAACAGGCAAGAGAAGCACGGTCGCCTCTTTTAGTTTATGACAGAGTTTCTTAAAAGGAGACCCCGGCCTCCTTGGAGGCCACTAATTGGATATCTGGGAATACGAACAAACATGTAAATGCGAATATATAATAACAGTGTATTTTTATAGAAGAAGCAAAAGTGTTGAGAGTCTTTGGTAGTTTAAAAAGCATTGGCATGGAACATAGGAATGAACTACATTCTATCTCAGGGATATACATACTATAAAATGTAGCAATTTTCTCATTCTTGTTCTCGTGATATCATTATCTTTCACTGCATCGTCGTGATCATCCCGCTGCATAACAATCTTTGCTAACAAATAATTGACAGTTTTCCACCGGGTACTGCCGACTGCATTAGCAGGCTTGTATTGTTAATTGCAACAAAAGCGTATGTTTCAACAGTATTTTCATATATATATATATAGATCGCGACCCAAAGCTGGGTTCAACAAATGCCTAAAAGTTATTGATTTTATTTCCTAGTAAATTTGGTGCTTCCGTAGTTTGTGCACCAAGTTGGGCACAACCTGAACATAGTATTGTAACAGGGTTCAGGTTGTGCGCCATTATGGTGCACAGATTGACGAAAAACACTAACACAAATATCGAGCCGTAAAAAAATTGCTCAAGGCTGCAAACTCCACACCTATGTAGAAATGTTGGGCAATGACCCCAAGATAATAATCACAAATAAAAAAAAACTTTATGTCTGAAAACAAGAGAAATGTTGGGCAATGACCCAAGATGAATAATCACAAATAAAAAAAACTTTATGTCTGAAAACAAGGTTGGGCCCAAAAGGCCCCTTATCTGCCGGACTATTTAACCATAAAAAGAAAATATGCTATTTCGATTTAATTGAACTAAAACTGGGAAAAATGACGTCGGCTTTTCTGGTGTCTCAACTTTTTTTTATAATATCCCTGAGTTTCTTAATTAATAAAGTGTTTCTAAATTCAGCTTGTGTTATATATATGTTTTATGGCGCTTATAACTTCAGAGGTCTTCAGCGCCGTTGATCAATTCGAAATAAAATTCTATATAGAATCCTAACATATTATACAATATTTACAAAATAATAACTATACAATTAAATCAATCACAAAAAGTAACTAATCCTAACGATTTTCTGCCCGTAGACAAAACAAATTCAACCACAGTTTCAATAATGTTGCAGTCGGAATAAAGAACTTGAATATTTGCGTGATAATGTTTCGTTTTCGGTTCATTGCATTGTGGTGGGATAAAATCTTTTATAATTGCTTGCTGAATCGCTATTAATATATTCCGTATTCCATTTTTCCCGAGTCAAGGTATCATAATAAGATTTTGCTTCCGAGGCGGAAAGTAGAAGCGTGGGATCAATGGTAAGTTTGTTGATTGCTCCTTTTGTCTGATTATCCACTATTTCGTTTCCGATAACTCCTACGTGAGCTGATGACCATAGGAATATAATTTGTATTTCTTGTTTTGTTATTACCGAATTTATGGTTGCTATTTTCGCAATTAATATGATGTGTTCATCGTATGTTTATTTCTGTAAAACGATCACGAACACTTGTATCCGCATCTTGCACTTTGAAGGCTGATAAATAAATGAATTGAGTCATCAACGTTTTCAATCCATTAACAGCATCTTTTCGCCACCGCCAGTCAACGCCATTGTGGCATAACAATGTTTTTTTTTTCGGCCTAGTGCAATGATGATATCTGAGGTTACGCCATAATGATCCAAGTCACAACATTGCATCATTGCAAAGCATTGTCTACAAGTGCAAAAATGTCATAGAGGCTTATCTCTCTTTTCCACCTCTCTTAGTTTGTAGGTAAATAATGTTTTATTTGGTTATACCGTAGTTTTATTGCGACAAAGATAATTTGGCTATACCACAAATATTTTTCAAACAGTGGCAACACTGCGGTTTAAAACTGTATAAAAAGAGACTGGCCGTATTTTTGTGGAAGTCAGTCGATACGACTGAAGCCGAATGATTTTGGATGGCGGTCGTATCGGGCCTGCGAAACGGTGGGTTTCCCTGACATTATAAAACAAGTAGCGCATCCAGTTCAAACAGTGGCAACACTGCGGTTTAAAACTGTATAAAAACAGACTGGCCGTATTTTTGTGGAAGTCAGTCGATACGACTGAAGCCGAATGATTTTGGATGGCGGTCGTATCGGGCCTGCGAACGGTGGGTTTCCTGACAATAATAAAACAAGTAGCGCTCCAGTTGGTTAGCGCAGTGTTTTTCAACCGGGGGTGCCGCGGCACACCGGTGTGCCGTTAAATATTGTCAGGGGTGCCGTGGGAAATTCTCCAAGTTGTGTGTCTATGCGGTGTAGCGTCCGGCAGAGTAATCGTGTGGTACTGTTTCTATATCAGACCGTGGGCAGCCTCTGGTGGCGATTTTTTTTGTCATTGTTTTTATTTGATTACTATTCAAGATGTCCAATTCAACATCTTTCTTCAATGTTAAAAATCTTATATTTACATTTTACAATATAACACTTATATTGTGAATATTAGGTATTTTCGCCATATTTTCAGCTGGTGGTGTGCCGCGGGATTTTCTCACTGAAAAAAGTGTGCCTTGGCTCGAAAAAGGTTGAAAAACACTGGGTTAGCGAATCATATCCCCGTGGGAGTGTATGTCTTGAAATTTTACCAACCTATGCTTAGGGATGCCAACTATGAAAAGTTTCAATAAAAGACATAGATTACTGTCATCATTTATTTTGTAACTGGCAGAAAAGAACAATATAGAAGAATGAAATAAAAATTATATACTAGCTAAAAAAAATATATTGAAAAAATCTTCATATGTTTTTCATTTAATGTTTATTTAACATTGGCCCAAACAAGCTCTAATTTCTTAGTTGCATAATTTTATAATTCTTAAAGTTATATTTCTACTGACTCTTTGCTGACTTCAGCATTGTGGATCATGTTTTTATTTGTTCCGAAAATTCACGACACGTGTCTTTCAAGTTTCAATATTTAAAAAGCTCACTTTCATTAGTTGTATGGAGCATCTGTTCTATAGCGACACCTAAACCCGGGTCACATGACCGTGACGCGCCTGCCACGTTTTGGGCTTTCTTGTATTTTACAAAATTAGGAGACTCGATTTCTGGCACTCTTCTTCTGGCTACGACGTTCTGCGCAACCAAGTTGAGTTATTTTACGCTTTCAAAATCGATTTTATGCTTTTATATAATACAATATACAACAAATATCTGGCACATTATATTAGTTAAGAGACTTGAAAGCGGACAGGAATAAAGAAGCATAGTCTTGGCACGCGGAGTAAGGGAACTATAGCAAAATCCCTACAGAAAATTAACTTTGTATATTAGGGGTCGGCAACCTTTTGTCGCTCGCGGGCCAAAACTAAAAGTTGCAAGTCATTGGCCGACCGCATATATTTTTAGAAAGTTGAAAACTGAACGGATGGTACTCTTTATATTCAAAATCAAGCAGTGATACATCTCTCAAATAGAATATAGATTTATTTTCCCATTCTATTGCATCTCAAAAAATTTTCATTTGAATATTTTTCGGCTCCATTAAACCTTTTGCACTTAGCATAAACTCTTCTGCGTTTTGTTGCCAATTTGTCTAATTATAATTAAATTATAGGCTCATTGAACGAGTAATTATTAATTATACACTTGTAAGGTTATAATATAATTTAGTTTACACGTGTCTCACAATAAATTCTGTTACGTAAAGAATATAATCGTCAAAACAGCTGCTTTGTTACCATAACTCAGTGAAGCTTCGCGGGCCGGATCCGGCCCGCGGGCCGTAGGTTGCGGACCCTTGTTCTATAAGGTTCGTTGCTGTTGTTCCCTAAACTTCGAGTGCCGAGACTGTGCTTACTTATTTCTGTCCACTTTCAAGTCTCTAATAAAAGGTGCAAGATATTTGTTGTGTATTGGATTATAAAAGCGACGATATAAAAGCATAAAATAGATTTTAAAATCGTAAAATAATTCAACTTGGTTGCGCAGAACGTTGTAGGTCGAGTGCCAGAAGAAGAGTGTCAGAAATCGAGTCCCCTTATTTGTAAAACTCGAAAAAGCAAAAAACGTGGCAGCGCGTCACGGGTTATGTGACCCGGCCTTAGGTGTCGCTATAAAATCCTTTCACTGCGTCATTTAGTTTGGATGACATTACACTAAAAATGCGTTCACAAAAAGCTGAGGTTCCGAGAATCGAGAGCACAAATGAAACTATTTTGAAAACATTAACACATTCAAGTTTAAAACATTTCAAGATAAAGTGTCATTTATTGCTTGTTGTTTTGCATTCTGTAAACAGTTTAGTGCTTTAAATCGTGCTAACTTTTTTTTGAATGAGTGCAACCTCATCAAATAGGTCATCCATATCAACAATAAGTTTGTTGTTTAGCTTCAAATGCTCTTCAACTTTTGCAAGTGTCGAAGAAAAAATAAAGCTTGCAAATGTGTAAACGGGGGCGATTTTTTTTATAAACGAAAAAATATCAAACACAGTACTATAACTATCGGCGGAAGGACGTTGGAAAGAATAAAGGACAATTAGCATCTTTTCTAAATGCTGAAAAGGACAAGGACCGAAATGTTTAAATAAAGGATTTTCCTTTGAAATAAAGACGGCTGGCAACCCTACCTATGCTAAATAGTAACGCATTGAATTCATACTCAAGGATAGGATAAGATTTACATATTTATCCCGGTGGAGAGGAAAGCCGATACGACGGCTTAACCATATGGCGAACCATGCCCCCTGGTCCGCTTTCAATTTCATGTCGTGTATGGAATTAGTTAGTTATTTGTTTTCGGAAGCATAGACTTGATGGTGGAGGAAGCCATGCTAATGGCAATGACTAAATAATACAAGCCGTATAATTCTTACTTAAAATGTGTGTGGTTTATTTTATT